CCAGCAATTCCTCATCGACACACGACATTCAGAATGGCATCTCCGAAGACAAGGGGTATTTATGTGTGCCGAGCCAGCTCTCAGCAATTGCCAAGCCCCTGCTTCAGTTTGAAATGGCTGCAGCTGCAGTCAGACGTGCTGCAGAGCACTTACTGCCAGCAGCCCACCTGCCAGGGACCACCCTCTCCTTCCTGGATCTGTGGTAGCACAGGCAGTCAACCCCAAACTGCTTCTGCAAAAAGCCTCTGGGTTAGCACAAACACTGCAAGGAACGGGGTTTCTCTGCACTGGACCATTCAGTCACAGTATGCCTGATGAGGAGAGGTGGTGGAAAGCCTCCAGCCCACCTGCACCTCCCCACAGCTCAACCTGCCTTGGGGTGTGCCTTGGGGTCACACTTGTCCCTTAAGACTCTAGCATTTAGTTTGCACAGGGCCCGAAGTAATTCATCACTAATCACTCAGACTCACAGTAAGCTGCAATTCACTGCCAGCTCTTCTGAGTTTGTACTTGGCAGGAGATAGGCACCCACTACAGGGGTCACCCAGGTCCCTGTCCCAGCAAGAGGCCCCACTGCAGTAGCCGGGCTTCAAGCACTGTGTGCGCAGCTCCATGCAGCCACTGCTCTAAAGCAGGGCACCCCATCGAAAGAAGCTGTACTAAGGGAGCATCCCAAACAGGGAGAAGAGGAAAAGAGAGAAGAGAAATTACTACAGCCACACAAACTCCATTTGATACAATTAAAGATTTATACAATTAAAGATTAATTATGTTCCCAAAAACCTGCGTAGTTCACTTTAGATGACTTAGGATAAAATGTCTCATTAATAAGAGATGGTAGTAAAAAGGCGGGGGGGGGGGGGGGGGTTGGTCTTCCTTCTCCTTTTGTTTTGACTGATCTCAGAAGGAAGGATGACCTCCAGCTCTCGAAAGCTTGCTGCAGTGCTTGCTCCCAGCATGCCCACCCACCCCAAACCTTAACACCTGTCTGTCAAATCTACACTCCTTCCCTGACAGAGCACTCTCCATCCAGGAAAAAGGGAAGCCATTTCTCTCCACTCCTAATAGAGGGAGCGGTGGGTGCGCTGGGAAGGAAGGGGATAGTAGGATTTGAAAAGGATTTTTTTTTTTAAGGGGGATGAGACACATTTATTTCTGCAGAATGAAGGCTTTGCAAGCATGAAGAAAACAACAAACTGTTGGGATGCGCCGGTCCCGTCAGCAGCCCTGGAAGTCAAACCCTTATACAAAACCAGCCAAAGGAAGAGCCTTTCAAATACTTGTTTATACTATCGCTGCACACCACAGCCTGTTTTTCCTACAAAACACATGTACTTCTATGATTCTACTTCAAAGCAAAAATTAGTTAATAAGACAAACACTCCCCCTCTTGCCTCGCACAGCGTCAGGCACATTGGACCAGAAAGACAGTCAGGAAGTCCCAGAAGACACTGCCCAGGTCAAGGGCACTCCATTTGTACACTGCTGAAAGTGAAGCAAAACCCTTGTACCAAAGCACTTTGTATTCCCTTGGCTTTTCTAAGACCCACGACCTCTCGTGTCCGAGTGTGTATGTGTTTCCCAGGGAGAATGCTGCTAGAACTATTGATTTTTGGTAATGTAGCTGTACTTTCTGAGAGTAAACATGCTACAAGATTTAGAGGACAACCACAGACATTATTTTTGCTCTCTCTTCAAGCTGGCTTCTCACTGATGCTCCTTTGCTCCCTGAGGCTTTCCATAACAGAAGCCACTGGACAGCAGGTTTGGGGATCACAGCTGAGCCACTGTATGGCCAAGATCTGCCTCAGGCAATGAGGAGGGAGACCCCTCAAACATCATCCTCTGAGACCCCCAGAACATCAGGAGCTGGCTTCCTGTCATGAAAACATGCTGTGCTCGGGTCCCCAGGGGCTTGGGAAAAGATTTCAGAAGGCCAAGGCTCTGCTTTTGACTTTCACTTCTATTTATCTTGGGGAGAAGCCAAGCAGAGCTGAGAAAGATATTTATATCTCCCCCCTTTCCCCAGCCACCACGGAAACGCTCTGGTTTCGGAGGAGGCCTATAGCACTGCTGATGAAATGCCTCCAATAAAAGCATTTTAGCATTTTTTATTCTGGGCCAGGACAGAAGATACCTGGAGGTTGTTATGCTTCATGCGCAAATGCTGACAACCCTAACGCTTGCTCATCTCCCTCCTGCCCTTTCCCATGGGTGCCAAGGGCCCACCTTTCTCCGGAAAGGCTGCAAAGAGCAAGAAGAGGTGCAGATCAGGAGCAGTGGGGAGGGAGATGGGGGGAGGAAAAACATAATCACCAGCATGGTTACCGAAAGCCGTGTCATTTGATTGGAGTGGGACGTGAGGCTCAGCAAAAGCACGGTAATTCTATAAATCCAAAACCACTAGAGGATTTATGTCCCCACTGCTTAAAGAATAGGGTAGGGGGTGGGGATTTTTTTTTATTTAATATTATAAATGAAAATGAACCTGATGGAAGTAAAGGTCAGCTTATGAAGCCAATGCCATACGTGCCCTGCAAGCGTGTAAACTTCCACCAAGGGAATAGCACTTACCAGACTAAGTGCCCTCTGTCTCCCAGCTGCCTTCCCAAATTAAATTAGAACTGAATAAGGAAACAGCATTGTTAACTTATAACCCCAAGCCAAACACCTCCAAGCAAACGTGCCAGAGATGTGCCCTCCTTTTCAAACCACAGGCAAAAGCTCAGAAACTGCACAGCGAGTATGCCTAGAAGGACACAGCATCTCCCATAGGGAGGAAGCGGGTGCCTAGCAAGAAGCGCGGCATCCTCCCAGGAGCAGCATCCCAGGACATGCAGGGGATGGCAGGGATTGCAGGTGAAAGCCGTTACCCCTGAGAGAGGGAGCGTACTTATGCATGGGTAACCAATAGTTCATATGTCAGCCTGCAAACTACTGCAGACCCACATGTGCAAGTGCTTCTCCTCCCTTTGCCTTCTGGGGGTCGGGTCCAAGGACACAGCTGTGCAGGTAATGATGAAAGGCAAGGCAGCCCTGTGGTAGCTCCCAGAAAGCAAGCTTTTCTCTATTTCTCCCCCTAAAAGTAATTTATTCTGAGTCAGGGAAAGCCAGCAGCACACCTGTCATTTCTAACACCCCAGTTTCTCTCATTTAAGGCAATTCTGTTCAGATGTTGGAAACTCTTCTTCCTCTAAGATCCGTTCCCCTCTATTACCTACAAATTACACACCAAGGTCTCCCTTGGGGTGCAGCAATCATTTTCTGAAGGAAGACAGAGGCTGAAGACTTATTTTGGGATAGAAAGAATCACAAGTATCAAACCACTCTCTCCTTGCAAACCTGAGCCAAAAGTGCTAGTACAAACTTCAGCCCCCAAACCACAACAACTTCCATATCAAAGGCAGAGCAATGGATGCATCTTTTATACATTTTTTCCACTTTTGCTTAAGCCTGTAAATTAAGTTTTACCAAAGCATTGTAGAAACAAATGCAAAGGAGGATGATTCCTCAATGAAGCAGTTAAAATGTGTGTCTAATGACGTTGTGTTCCTGAGCGCAAGTATTTGTCAAACAGCCACCCTTGGGGGCTCGCTTCCCATAGACAACCCTCCCAGAATGAGACAGCACCTCTGTGTTCAAACCTGGAAACAACAGTAATAATTCACGGTGCTAATACACGCAAGGACAGCGGCAACATGTTTCAGCTCCGGTTATGAAGAGCAGAGATGCCAACACAAACCAGTGCTTTTAAATCACCTGTCATGGACTCAACAAGCATGAGAAACATTAACGGATTCGCCTGGAGAGGCACTGGGCAACAGGAGGACAAAATAAGTCCAGACAAGGGAAGGAAGTTAAGAGGTATTTAAAACTTCCTTCACGTAATCTCTGGCTTGCAGTCACACTGCCTGGCCTGGATTTTGCTGCTACCATCAGGATTATTGATCAGCTTTTAAAGCCTTACATCGTCTATGGTAGTCAGCCAAAAAGGACCCATCCTGAATTAATAAAAAGTCCAAGCAGCTCTGCTGAGAGCCTCCGTGCTCAGAAATGCTGAGGGAAAGGCAATTCACTGCCTCGCAATTAAAAACTACCACCAAAGAGCAGCATTATCACAGGATAAAATGCATCACAGGATAAAACATACACATACCCCCCAGTCTGCAGGGAGCTCACTTTGTTGTGAACTCCAGCCACAGAAAGCAGTGCCTTAGGGTAGGGGTATTATAGATTAACAGTACAAAACTGTCCCTGGTGAATCAGCGCTGCAGGCGAGCAGAGGCATGTAATGTCATTAGCCTGTGACCAATCAGCCTAAGAAACCTGTCTGCTCTCAGCAGGGAGCTGAAAGCAGGCAGTTTTCCATTTTCTGTATCTGGAATGAGCACAGAAATTAACAACTTGTGAAATGCGGGAAGGAAGAAGCTCACAGCTCCAGGAACCTATGGCTGCGGCCAAGCTCACTGTCATTCCTGACGCACAGTCCACACTGAGGATGGGACACCAGCAATCCCTTCTCCTCTGTTTCACCTGGGTTGAAGGTGTTTATCCATCAAAAGATCCCCTCCAGGAAGTCCTACAACAGGCCGATCACTACTTGTCTCTGCCTCCATGGCAGAACATGTGCAGGAGGATCACTTTTGAGAGGCAACCAGCACTGTGGCTCTGCAAGATCGTACCAGGAATCAGGGTCCAGCAGCAGAGAGTAGAACCGAAAGATCTCAAACCAGATTAAACTCAAGCTTTGGAGGAGCCGCAGGCTTTACGGCTTCACCTGCTCTGCACACAGTGACAACAGTCACCAACTCACCCAGCAGCAGCCACTACCCCTGGCATGTCTTGATCAGGAACAGTGGTGAAGGAAGGAACAAATTCAGAAAGCTGGGAGGGACGGACAGTCCTTTTCCATGGGAAATCAGCATACTATGGTGTTGTTATCCCCTTCAGAGAAGTGAAGCAAACAAAATCCCAAGTACCCGCTGACAAGCATGGAGAAAAATTAAGCATTGTTTCTGAAGAGCGTCAACATGGAGCAATGAAACCTCTGTTTTCAGACTCTCCACACCTTCCCCTGGATATTCCTGATGGTACTCACAGCAGAGCATGACCCCAACACCCCAAACCCTTCTTGCACTATCTTACACTACATGGGAAGGGAGGGACTCAGACAGGATCAGACCATGCGCTGTGACTTCTCCAAACAAACATCAGACTATTTTTTCAACTCATAAGGAATGACATATTTGAATTAATGCTTGTATAACACATCCACAGCTTGGGATGGAAAACACTGCAGAAGCGCAGAAAACAACTGCTCTTCTAAATCATCTGGCTAAAGCACAACTGTGATACTCACGAGTTACAGCAGTGAAGGCGCTGATAAACTGCTGTGTTACAAAGCCGATACCAGCATTAAGCAAAAAAAGACTGATAGAGAAAAGGTTACTGATGGAAAAAAAATATGGATGGATTAAAAAATAATAATAAAAAGATACAGAAATGTCGAAGTAACACTCAGAAACACTGATGGACTCTAAGAAGATTCCACTGAACTTCAGCAACCTATCCATTGGAGCCATTCTGACTAACCTCCTTTCCTGCATGAACCACAGCCTCCAATCCTGCTTTTGGGATCCCACCTGCCTGGTTAAGGTGCCTCACTCCTGTGACCTCCCACATAGACCTGTCAGGGCGTCTCTAGTCTGAGCAGCACCTCTGTTCCTCCTTGGCAGGCTGACCCGTGAACACAGTTCAGCAATGGAAAGCTGTTGGCAAGAGGGACCTCAAGGGCAGGCCTGCCTGTGCCCCATTTTGGCTTTATAGATTTATGCTCCCAACACCTCCCTGTTGACCACCCCAGTGGTCTAGAGAGTTCTGTTACCTCCATAGCAAGAAACGTCAGAAGCTGTTCCAGTTCCAAGGCTGCAGTATACGCTGGCAGAGCTCTTTCTTCCTTATCCTGAGAAATGCACCAAAACCTTTTCCATTTACTATCTAAACACACCCAAACTATGACAGAAAATCCCCAAACCAAATCCCCTGGTGGCTCCCAGAAGATGAGACACAACTGGGCAGTGTGTCAAGATCTGGGAAGTTTGTTCAATTAATAGGTTTTTCCCTTCTATTTTCTACTTCCAAAATATTTTTTCTGAAGCAGTTTGGTGCCAGAAAAGAAATACCTGATTCCTGTATTATTCACTAGGGACACCACTCCATCAATGATTATCTGTCAGAGGTTTAATTGTGCTTGGAAGCTTGCCAGCTATAATGCATGAGAAGTGTAGGAAAAGCAGGCAGACAGGCACTCATCCAGAAAGGTGGCTCTTTCCAGTGTTCCGCCCCCCTCTCCAGAAGCAACTGCTTCCTCTTCATGGCTTTTTAAAGGACCACTGGCTGGGCATCGAACACTTTCCACTAATGCATAGGTGTTACAGGATTAAGATGTCATGCAGAGTGTCAGGGCAAGGGTGGAAGAGAGGGCTAGAAGGGCAGAGAGAAGGTGATTGTCATCTGGTCTGTCACCATGGGCACACTGCCTGTGCCAAGGCCTCCATGCATCAGCCACAAAGCTTGGTGGGTGTATGTAGAACGTTTGTGTTGTTCTGCAAGTGCTCAGCTGGCTCTGGAGTGCCTCCATCACCAATACAGCATTGAGTCCTTCCACCCAGGTAACACAAGCAACAGCCCTTCCCCTCTTGTTTTCTTCCAACCTCTGGCAGGTTTTAAAAGGTGGCAGCAGAGGCCCTTTCACCTCAGGAAGAAGGAAGGAAGCTTTTTACCCTTGAGAAGAATAAAACATGCAGACTTCAGGAGGCAGAAAATATGGTCATAAGAGTCCCAACCGTCTGTCTTTTGAGAGTGCAGCTGATCTGTTATCATTAACAAAGCACTAACTCCTTTATCCTTTGCATTCAGCTTGCTAATTCTGGAGTCATATATATCCACAAGCTTTGCCACAAACCACCAAGACCTGAAATTACAGACAAGTTAGGTTAGGCATCTTAGGCTAGCACAAGCACAACACAGGATGCAAGTCCAGTCTCCTCTGTGACACAGAAAAAAGCTTTCCGATTAAACCACCAGTGCCATCCCTTGGAATGCAATAACAATATAACCACTCTATCTGGAAAAGTACCACCAATGTAAGAGAAAGAAGCATGTATGGAGCTCAGGGAGGAACATCCTAGGTGTGCATGATGGGAGGTTTCTTTTTTATGTTTTTATTTTACTGAGCCAAAGTAAATGCAACGTAAATGCCAAGAAGCTTTCTGTATGTTCACAAATGTCATCTCATGGGTGTTTTGCATCCATTTCATGTAGTAATCATAAAAGTGACAAGCTGAAGAAAGGACCAAAAGAGTTTGTTTTCTCCACTGTCCTCTCCTTCCCGAAGGCAGGTGGAGCAAATTGGTGGCAGATCCCGGACTAGCATCTCTGCTCCCTCAAAACAACTGGGACCCCCATTTTTCCAGGTCCTTAGAGCAATGCTTCATTACCTTTCCCATTACAAAGATCTTCCTAACACCGAATCTCTTGCTGCAATTTAAGCCCATTACTATGTCCTCCAGAGACTGGAGGACAGAGTATCCACTAATTGCTAAAGCTTCCACATGCTTAAAGAGTTTTGCCTACGAGCTATCCTCCTCCTTCCCTTTCTTAGCCTCCAAACAATTCTTTCAGTCGCAGCTCCTAGGTATTTTCTAGTCCTCTGATTATCATATTGTTGCTTTCTGGGCTCTTTGGCCCATCCATGGTGCCCCAAACTGGACAAATACTTCAGCTAGGGACTGAGTGCTAAGTATAGTCAGAGGTTTACTTTACAGACATTTGCCTCTTTATTTCCACAGACTGACTAGCTTGTGCTCTGAAGCAGTCCCCCATAACCCAAACCCCGGTCTGTGGGGCTGGTATTGAGGCAGTTCTCCATCCTGCACTGATACCACTACTCCCTCCTGGACCTGCACTTGTTCGCAGCAGCCCATTTGTTTCTGCCTGATTTATCAAGATTATTTGGAGCTCTGTTCCCTCCTACTAGTAAGTGCAATTTTCCTGCCTCTCCCTAGCTGGGTTTTCTCTGCAGACCTAAGAGAAGCCTGTTTCATTCATTCTGCCCATAACATCCTTCTGACCTCCATGGGTAGGAAGGGTACAAGGTTTCCAGCTGAGCTCTGGAAAAAATGGAAGCAGCCGATCCTTCTTCTGACTGTTGCCATGCAGAACCTTGTATCTTCATGAAACTGGAGCAAAGCCACCTCAGCTGCCAGAGGGTGATGCAGCAGTGGGGAGGGTGCCATTCAGCAATAGTCTAAATTAACATCAGGCCTGGTTGTTGTAACTAAAACTATTTGGGGTCAGGTGCAGCCCTTTGTTGAGTTCCTCTCCCTCCATGGTCCCCCTCCTTCATAAATCAAATCTAGTGGTGCTCGTGCCACTGCCACACTGCAAACCCTTCACTTTAACTCACAGTTTTGGGACCACTCCCCCCTGCCACAAATCTATGAAAATTCATGCGCTTGAGGAAATCAAACCCTAGTTGCTATGGTGAGAGTCATTCTGCAAACTAAGAAACAAATACAAGTGGGACATTTGGAGGTTACTGGATTTTTGCACATCTTTCTGACAAGAATAAAAAACCCCTCCAGAATATGAAAGGCTCTGCTAACTTCCCAGACCCTGCCACACTTCAAACATAAGGGATTTACAGTACTCGCTTAAGTAAAATTAATAATCGAGCACTGCAATTCACCAAAGAAATCGTCCCCATGGCTCCTAGCGCTGCCTGTTATAGCTAACGCAGGAACAGTTTTTAAGAGCTGGGCTTCAGTTTTGCTGCAGAGATGCCAGGAGGCTCGAGACACATCCAGGAATACTAGGACAAGGAGCTCCCATCAATGTGACCTACTCACTAATCTCACCAAACCACCAAGAGGAAAAGCTCACCTATAGAGCCAGTAAATTAATTTGGACAGACCCAGGAAATTACCTGGCAGAAGGGTCACGGCACCTTTCGGATGAACTGCCTACTTTTGCTAATCACTGTGTTGATCTGGTTTGATTATTTTTCCCCCCCCCTTAATGTGCTGGATCCCTGTCTTCTGTTAAGGCGCCGCTGTAATTCATCCGCTGCCAGCTCCACCGAGAAAAACTGTCCTCTTAAGATCAAAGAGGTGATGCTGTTTTGGCTGACTGGTGGCAGAACAGTGATCTCAAGGAAATGAAGCAGCAGGATGGCCACTGGGTGGGAAGCAGAAGCACTCAGAGCATGATCTCCAAAGCAGAGGCACCCAGAGCACCTCCAAAATGGTTGAGCTGCTGGGCTGGACAGGACTGCAATGGTGCAGGCAGCCCTGCATGGAAGGGACAAGAGGATTCAGAAACATTATAACCCTTTCAGCAAATATCCCCTCTTCCAGCACTCACAGTTCCTGTTAAAATTAGTCAAGAGAGGTGTTGAATACCTCTGAAGAAAAAGCAGCTTCTCTCCTTTATGGCAAGGTCACCAAATGGATCTCTCTCACAGGCGGGCAAGTTAGCACAAACCTTCTGCACTTCCTGCGCTGTGTACTTCTCAGTGCTGCATCTCAGCCTTTCAATACCTCCAACGCTGCCTTGTCACTCTGCTCCAAGGCCCAAACACTCCAACAAAGATATTTTCCCTCTATTGTCTAGTCTGATTTTTCAAATGCCACTTCAGGTTCCTGTTTCACCAAATGCAAATAATGTGAACATGCCTGCTTTTTTTTTTTTCCTAAGGAGTATCATTTAAAGGAAAGCACTTTCACAGCAACCCCAGTTCAATCTTTTCCCCCCCCAAGACCACACAAATGTCAATCTCTAGTCTCATCTGCTCAATTGTCACACCCTCCCATCCTACTGTTGCTCTAATTGCACACTGCTGAGCCCCTTCGTTTGTTTCAACATCCCTCGATAATGGCAGGATCAGAACTGAAGGCAAAAATCCTCTCATCTGCAAAGCGGCATTACAGGCTTTCATTTCTGCTTTTGATTTTTCTGTATAACCGAGGCAAGGAAAGCACTGGCTTATTTCTGATACAGTGATGTTGCACTACAATCTCTTATTCAGTCTGTTCTCACCCCAGTGGATTTTTGTTCAGTATTGTTAACTCTAAACTTTCCAAGCAGCCACCTCCTGTTAGGTACTTGTTCCAGCTGCCAGTCATACTTTGGATATATACCTTTATCACCTTGCTAAGGATAATAGAATGTTCTTACCCTTTCCAAACACTGAGCAGTCTTGATTGTCTCCTAATGCCAGTTCTCTGTCCCTTTGATTTCACCTCAGCTTAAAAGTACACCAGGAAAAAACTCTGTCTCCTTAAATTCACTAATAAAAGTTGCACAGAAAAGGCCTGGGTACTGATGGCTACAGAGCACCAGAAGCACTCCTCAACTGCAAGTGATGTTGGTAATGGTGGCTCTGCAAAGGGGAGATGTTAATTTCTTTAGTGCTTGGTGAGTTTGGAGCATTCTGAGGGATTAGGGGGTTTATCCATGACAAGATGAACTACTGCATACCACAGGCACTTCACTATTCTTACCCAGCAAGACAGAAATGATAACACAGAACACTACCAGATTTCTCTGCTATGATCGGCTCTTCAGCAGCCCGTCAGTAAATGCACTATCCCCCTGCTCCACGTGAAAGCACATACAATCCCATAATTTCATACCCCATATGCAGTCCTAAAAGAGAAGAAACCTCATCGAATTACAGCTTGTCTGACCTAGAATCCCTCCCAAGCAGTACTGGGAGGTACTCCCAAGAAGTACTCCCAAGAGCCCTGGTGCTCCACTCCTGCTGCTGGAACAGGGTATTGCAGCATTAGTATCATTGCCTCGACTGATCCAGTTCCCAGTCTTGCATCCTAGTCTCCCCTAATGCCCTAAAACGTAAGATGTGCAGCTTTCTGCTGTTGTGCCTCAGTAGCTGTTCCCTCAATATTTAATCTTGTAAGCTGCTAATGCACAGATCTGTGCTAAGTGGCAGGGTTCATCTTCTGTACTCAAAATCTGCTTCCTTCTTGTCTGAATGTGACAAAGGCCACTCTTATTCTTCAGACCTCAAGTCAAAAATCCTTCAATTTTAACCCAATGAGAGTCCAGGTGGTTTTCTCCGTACTGTAAGGCCTCCTTGCTTTTTAAAGTACAACAGAAAATGTGGGACAGGCGGTACCTTCACAATGTTTGCACTTTTATTTATTCACTGCAGCCTTAGTATTTTTCACTAAGCAAAATAAATAAAAGCCCAGAGGCAGCCAAGTCTCATCTCCGGAGATGCAGGCAACTGCCCCAGCCACCTCTGTGCCGGCACTGTGCCACTTGGCCAGCTGCAGCACAGGGCACACAGCCACTGCCTGGGACATAGGAGGAGGCAAGGCAGAAGGGCTGCCAAATCAGCATCTGAGGCCCAGCTGCCTGCCCAGCCTCACCCTGCTCCCATGGGTTGGAGCTGCTGCTGTCTTTCAACTGTGAATTGCTGCCCCTTCCCTCCACTCTCCAAGAGATGAGCCACTTTCTCTCGACCAGAGCTAGATTTTGGTACGTGACTCATGTCCAAAGGAGTCGATCAGCTAGCCACTGGCCACCCTAGAAGAAATACACAGAGCTCCATATGATGTGGTGCATAAAGCATAACCAGCTTCTTGGGACTAGATTAGACAAGCACAAAGCTAAAGTGTCTAGCACTTTAAGACACAAATCACTCAGCTGTTGGGTCACAATCCCTTGAGCTTTCAGCACCAGCTAGGCCAGGGAGCCTTTCTCATGGATATTCTTCAAGACAGAAGTAATTAAAATGCCCAAACACAGCTCAACCTACAGGATCTATTTTCTGAGCAGTGTGGGAAAATACTGGCCTGCACAGCCATTTATTAGCTCGAGGAGGTTTAACTCTGCAGAATGGGTAGAACAAAGGATTATTAAATGAAATTCTGATTAGTTCAGCTGAAAGCAAAATACCAGCTGGAGCCTGGGGTAATGCAGGCATGCTATCAGCAAACATGTGCTGCCAGTGCATCTGCACACACACACCAGCTCTGATTGGGGAGCCTCAGACTGGACCAGCAGAACCAGGGCTTCTCCATCATGGTCCATGCTCTGATAGCTCAGGTCCTGTTCTCCTCTAGGCAAAGCCTTTGGCCCAGCAGTGCTGGTCACAGTGCTGCAGAATGGGAATGAGAGCGACAAAATCTGAGTTTTGCAACTTCATGCCCTCCTACCAGTAGCCACGTTTTGTGGGCTTTCCACGTGGGAACACAGCCACTCAACACAGCTATCACAGAGTCGCTCTGCCTGGAAACACAGGCATGGCACATGGGGATGGTGCCCGCAAGCCACCCTGCCTAACTGCAGCCATATTCATTAACAGCCCATCGTTTAGATCCTATTGCAAAAGTTAATGAAGAGACTTTGTGAGAGGGCAGCCTCCCTGAGATGAAGATAAATAATGTATATAAAAGGGGGCTGGGAGGGAACTGGCACATCCTTGCAAGGTCATGCTAGAATGCATCAGTGGCTGGCTGAGGCTGGGCTCCTCCGGTAAGAAGCCTGGAGCTATTTATGACTCATGTAATTAATTAATGCCAACGGGCGTTCTGCTGCAGGCACGTGGGAAACCAAAGGGAAATATGAAGCGAGCAGGTTAGGAAATGTAATGGAGGTGGGGGAGAAGGATGACATTTCTTGTGGCAAGACATGCTTTGAAGTAATTATCAACAGTCTAAACAGCCAGCAGCTCTTTTGGCAACATCAGTACAAAATCAATTAGGAGCTTTAAAAATGCACTGGCTCATATTTCAGGGAGCATTGAGAATAAGAAGTAGCCATCTGAGGCAGGGCAGCTGCATTTCTAAGCACCACATACTACAAGACCCACGGATCCTCAGACCCCGCAGTGCAGCCCACAAACAGTGTGACCAGTAGAGGGAGCATCATTAATGCCTTCCCAATCATAAATGGATATGACAAGCATTAAGAAAGTCTGACAGTTTGATCTTACGTGTCTCTGAGGACAGGTTTAACAAAAGGAAGAGAAAGAACCAGAGCCAAGCTAAATGTGAGTGTAAGCCTTGAAAGCTGAGTCCCTGCAGGCACTCTGGGCTTCTGACATACACCCTCCCCTTCTGAAGCCAGCTTTCTGCCACCAGGAGCTAACCAAAACTCATAGAATACGTTAAGAAAGGGACCACCTCTGTGGCTTTCCTGCTTCAGTTTGCAACACTGCAGTCTTACGCTGAACACTCAACATGTGGTGACGCTGAGTCATGACACTGCTTGCACAAACCATTTGAGGACAATGAGAGCTTAACCTAATTTTGTTCCTTTGTCCTCTGCACAGAGATCAATCAGTTCCACTCCCTGCCTTCACATCCCCATGCATTCAGTGCCTAATACATTATACAGCAAAACTGTAAATGCAAATAAAGTGCACTCTTTTCCTGCTCTGGCACCCTAAAGTCCTTCTGGGTTGTCCAACTCCCACTCAGGCTGCATCCTCTCTCATGTCTCTTTGTTGCCAGAATATTGGTTCCCAAATGTATTCATGCATTGTCCAGTCTCCCTCTTATCATAGCTGCCTGCAACAAATCCCCTCACACAATGAGGACTGCAAATCTGCTTACAGCTCAGCATTGTTTTCCATTTTCTACTCCACTGTGCTTCTCTTCTCTCTGGACTCTTGCAGGGGCCAAGCAGCACAGCATCAGTCTGCCACTGCCATCTGGATGGGCAGCAGAGGCTTCCTGAAGTCCTAACCATGGCTAGCAAAGCCTGGGAGACTGCAGGATGCTGCCCTTTGAGCCTGACCCACCTCTGACCACTGCAAAGCTGGTGGGACTCCCTACTGCTATCTCCTATTTTTCTGGAGCAAACCCATGCAAATCCATAGTGCAAATCAAAGAAAACAAACCAAAACAGAGTAAGTGAAATGATGGTTTTAATTTCTTAAATATATGAGTAGAACAAAGCTCTCCTTTTGGGTGGGCTGAGAATTGAAGTGAGCCTGAAGCGAAAACACCAGTGAAGTAAATGACAACACAAACACTCAGCATTTGTGTTACCTACACCTGATCTGAGATTCACCAGCTTTAAGAACACTCCTGTTAAATACTGTAATGCTCCCAATTAGGAGTGATCTGGATTGTTTATTTTCAAAACGGATTTCTCCCCTCAGTGAGATCTCATAAGCCTAAGACAAAAGCAGTCTTGAAGAGGTGTTTCAACCTCTTTTGGCTACACAATATCCACAGCTGGCTTGGTTTCCTTAATTGTTTCATACTGACCTTGAGGATATTTCGGCCATTAAATGACTCCCGCTCCTTGAAAGATGATTTACCAGTCATTGTATTGTTTCTCTCTTCAGCTGTAAAGAGAAAAGCAACCACCAGAATGAGCTTCAGATGGGAGAATTGTGTGTGCTGTACTTCACTCCCCACTCCCTCCCCAAAGTCAGCTGCCAGCTAATAGACCACCTTTGCCCAGTTCTTAGTGAAAAAAACCCACTTCCACTTCGATTTTAAAGAGAACAAGGCTGAATACACAAGAATTGGTACCTTTGTAGGGATCACCTACATTACCTGCAGGAAAGACCCTAAATCACAGCTACTGCTAGGGTGATTCTGTAGGGCTGATGGCTCAGCGCAACACACCTGCTTCTCTCTGGCTGATTTTAATCCCACATCCTGCCAGGGTGAGAGTCAGCACAATGAGTGCTTGCATCACCTGGAACAGCACCAAATATCAGATTGAGAATGCAAGCAGAGTGTCAGGCACAACCCGGACAGCACCTCTACAAATCTCTGCTGCCTGCTTGCTCTGGGAAGCACATACATGTGGTGTGTGTGCTTCTGCAGGGTGGGCACACAGCCACACACAGACATTAAGAATAGCAACCTAGGCCTATAGCAACTGCCAAATGCCTACGTCTTAGATCCATTTCCCCAGAGCATGTCTGGATTTTTATATAATCCCTAAGTACATGATTTTTTCTTCCAACAGGACCTCTGCCTCAGTCAGTGAATATATGCAGTATTTCTTTTTCATCTCCAGCATTAACTATGAAGTCCACTCACATCTAGCATGCTATTCAAATCCTGTATTGAATATAAAGCGACTTCTGTGTAATGCTCTCACCATTGTGTCTGAATGCTTCACATGCCTCATGGGGTTGTTCAGAATATAGACTCATAATGCTAGATGCAGCTGCCCATGTGCCTTCCCTAACAGACAGACACGTAAGCACTTTGGGCTCATCATCAGTTTTCAGGGCTCAGTTTGAGAGCTAAACCTCATCTCATCTTTCAGTGTTTCTACTACCTGAATATGCATACCTGACTTCAGTAGCAGTCATCCCCAAAGTCAGATGCTGGATATCCAGAAAACCACAACTGGTTTAATAAACCATCTGCTCTTATTGCTGTCCATTCAGAGGCTTAGAGAGTCAGTAACTAGAGGATACCTGACATAGCCTAGTGACACCGCAGAGACCACTGCACCAGAGAAAGCTATAAAAAGCTTTAGTGCAATGCTGTTAAGGCTTGCAAACTGCACACCAGTGCCAGAGCACATGCACGTTTGCAAGTGGAGAACAGGGCTGTAATATACTGCCCCTCCCCAAAAGCAATGCATCTGAGGCTGCTGCATCAAGCAATGCAGTAAGAATGATGCTACAGACTGCTAGAGCAGACAATCTTCTGGCAGAGACAGCAGACACTACACACTCAATAATAGCTTATATTCAGCCTCATAACTATTTGAATCTGATTTAATGAGAAGGACACTGGAATCACATTCCTAAACCAATGGGCAATCTAACTTGACCAATGAGGATCACATTTTTTTCTTGTTTAAAAGTCAGCATAGCATATTGATTTATTACTGAATGTCAGTTTAACACTGGGACACAGAGAGCCCAAAACCTCACACTGTACTTGAGTGCATTCCTCCCTACCCCAGATCTTATGAGGGCTACTTGGCAACAGGGTTTTCAAAGCTATGACGAAGATCCAGAAAACGCTCAAAGCATGCCTGCCTTCTCCAGCTCTGCAGATTGCTTTTTGATTTTCCTCTGGGTTTTATCTACTGACATCCCCCCACAGCCTTGTACGTGTTCTTAAGATTACGAAAAATCACAAAATTAAAAGAGCAAACATAAAAGCCAACAAAAGCATTTCCTGACCAGTGGGACTACTTTAAATGCATTTATCAGTAAGGATGAGGGATACCCACCATTTGGATCTTTCCTGAAGAGAGTGTTCATGACTGTAGCATGCAGTTTCACCCTATCCCACTCTTTAAGCATCAAGCCAGAGGCCACAAACCGCTCCACCAGTTGATCAGCAATCACCTGCAATCTGGGAATGCAAAAAAAGGAAGAACAAAGCCACATAAACCAAGGAGAAACCCTTGAGCCATCAGCTTTCCACTTTTCAGCCAGGGAGGGCAGCATGTGTGAAATGAAGTCTGCACACACACAGGGAAAGGGAGCTAGTCTCTGATGGAAGTGAACAGAGCCATCAAGGATTCAGTTCTAATGCAGAAAGTTCTGGCTGCCTTGCAAAGCTTCCTCAGTGATTACTTCTGCTACACATATTCCAGGAGGAAGGGAAGATTCAGCACAGCAGAGAGCTTGTTCTCTGTGACAGATGTTACTTGGACTTGAAAGGAGCATCTTCCCACTGCCAGGAAACACAATGTACCTACCCTTACAAATGCTAAATCTGCAGAACCCCCGGGAGGGGTTTAGGCACCTTGACTCTTGGAGGATGTACTCTGCCCAAGGACTGTGGCCTGTCCAGTGCACTGGGCTGGAGCTCAGACATTCTCTGTCCCACATAAGCAACCCAGTCACTGGGCTTAATTTCTGGAAGAGTCCAGAATGTGGTGACAGAAGGCACAAACCCAGACACCACATTGTGGTGAATGCTCCAGCTTTGGAGCTACTGAGCAAGCAGAATCGCAGGATTTATTGCCACCTACTTGTCTGGCCTTGGTCAGAGATGAAAGTGGCTGTGGCCACAGGGATCTGCAAGCAAACCTGTCCTAAGATAGCAACCAGGAACAGGCAGGTGATCAGAGCAATGTGCTCTCATGTCCTACATCTAAAGAGCTGAAGGAATTTCCAGGCTGCTGCTGTCCCCAACAGAATTTCTGCAGTGCCTCAGCCTTTCCAAAAGCAGCAAGGATGTGGCAGAACAAGAGCAGCCCCCAAAACAAGGGAAGAGGGTATTACTCTATGCAGAAGAATCTGGGCTTCTCTCACCATGTCCAAGGAACTAGACAGCTTTCTGCTCCACCAGGTCCCACCACTTTGGCATCTCAGCAGTAGTATGAGAGGCAGAGTGTGGCCTCTTTGAAGCAGGTCCCCACAGCCTGGGCTGCCATGCTCTGGAAGGAAGCCAGTCCTACCTCAGCACTGGTTTTGTACTGCCCCTCACAGGCCAGCCCCCATGTGACAATTTCAAGACTCTCAAACTACCAATTGTCATGGTTTTCTACCATTTTCTGGCTTTCCTTCAGTGATTTTTAAAATTAGCAATGACAAAGATTAAATGAATATAATTACAGACAATACTAAAACAAATTAACAGAGAATAGCTCAAGTGGAAATGGTGCTTTATTATGTTATAAAGTTAATCAAGGAAATAAAACAAATTAGAATGAATTATAATGGAAATTATTTGCCATGTGGGAGGCATCAGAGCATGATGCCTCTCTCAGTCTAAGCCATTATATGTGCAGAAGGGCTTGCCAACCCCTAATTCTGTCTGCAGTTATGCAAGCTAAGTCAGGGTAAATCAAATCTCCTGCTTTATAGCTTAAGCTGATCAAGATCATTCAAAGATCAGGAAGGAACTCCACCCCTCAGCCATGCCAGGAACTACACAGAGCTAGCAAGACGCCTTGCATGAGGCAGGAAGGCACACACCTCTCTTAAATGCAGACCACAGCAGTCTGAGCCAGCACACCAAGTCACGTGGCTGCTGTTCTCCTTAGTATTGGTCTTGCAGCTGAGAATCTCTGTTTTCTACCTAATTTCCCCATTTCTCTAGTAAAGCATAACAGGTTTTAGCAGGCAAGAGGTGCATGGAGCTGCTCAGCAAGGATCCATCTAGCAGACCAGAAAACAAAGCAGTTTTCTTGAGGGATCACCATTTGTCCCCTCTTTATAGTCATCATTTGTCCAACATGGTTTGCTGGAATCCCAAAGGAAGCAGAAGAACCTTACACTGCTCTCCAACAACAGAAAAATATCTTATTTTCCCTCTGCAAAGCTAAATGCTTACTGGATGCTTGATAACAGTTAAGGAAATACACTAGGGGAGAAGTGCCAGATTAATTAGCTTACAGATGAGGGTGGGACAGGCCTGGGCCAACGACAAAAACTTAAATCACTTGGCCTCTCTGAGCACACTGCTATGCAAAACGTGAAAATGGTGTTATGGAAGAGAAGACTAGCAGCTTGCAGGTGCCATGCAAACCAGATGTGGATTTGGTCAAAACCTCAGCTAATAGATCTTTGTGAAAGACAGAGGGGACATCAGCCCTTTCCTGGGGGCTGGGGGAAGGGGGAAGGGGGGGGAGGGGGAGTAGTTTTCAATTTCAAGGCAAGATGGATTTAAAGACGTCATTTCTCTCCCCTGCCAAAAGCACCTCTGCAACCCCTAATGCACGTCAGCATTTTCTCTTAGCATTATGGGATGCTAATTATTCATTATGGGCTATATAGAGTCTCAGCAAAACAGATATGGCTGGCATCTGAAACAGACAAGACCACAGTGCTACCGCCAACAATTCAAGCTGTCTCCAGACATCAGTAGACATCACTGTCCACTTTAGGCCCTATTTACGCTCTGCAGGATTTCTCTCCCAGCTCCTATTTTCACATGCAAGCAGACTCACAAACACTGCACCCCAGCCTACCTGGAGCATGGTGACTCATGAGAAAAGAGGCCCATACCTCAGCTCTCAAAGCTGACACTTAGGATGCTTTCTAGAACCTATCCACCGAAGGGCGTGTCGGTCATTCAGTGAATGCCTCTGTCTCATCTTTCTGAGTGCTTCTGCTTTCTCCCTGCACTTCTGTCTCTTGGATGCTCTACAGCTTGTCCTGGTTCTCCACCTGCCCCATTTGTTTTACCTCACCTCTTTCAGGGCAGGACAGACTTCAAAGGGAAAGAGCCAAGAAGAGGAAAAGATTTCAATTTCTACTGCCTCCTAGCAATTCTTACGTTTTCATTTTCCCACCCATTTCCTTATCCCACTTCCGATCTCTTACTTCAACATAGACTCCAAAGTGCAGTTTTAAGCAGGGGCCCCCTCTTGTCTCCTTAGCCCTCAGGGAAAGGAGATGCTAGAACATGTCCCTTTTCCCCTGAGCCAGTGCTTGCTCACAGCCTCCCTCCTCCAGCTGCACTGCTCTGTTCTCCTCTGCTAGCTCCTGCTGTCTTCTAGCAACAAGAACAAAAGGGCAGCACTGCCAGAAAAAAGAGAAGGCTAAGGCTCAGAGAGAGAAGGCTAAAGCTCTTTTGGCTATTTCCCTACCCTCTTTCTCATCTACCTCACAGCACAGAATACAAGAGCTCATGTTTCCCCAGTCTTCCAGAGAGCACTAGCGGAAAAGATGGTGCTGCCACTGGTGACATACTTGTAAAAAATGAGATTGAGGAAGGTTGTTTAGATACTGCCACATCCTAGGCACTGCTGTTTGTAAAGTTAAAACCATCAGCCACAGTGGCAAACAACACAAACACATGAATGACACCAATCAGGCATAAAAATTTTTCACCAGTAGCTCAGAAGACAGATTTCAGACTACTGACAGATACAAAAATCAACTCTGCAACCAAGTCGTGCTTTTCTGAGGACCTTCTGATATAACTGGGTTTCAAGAATAATTAAGTGCTGCAGAATACACCAGGCTGTCCAGATTAGTCTGGACTGCAGGTTAGGAACAGCAGACATCAAGTTATCCTGCTTTCTAAGTCACCTCAGGAGTATCTTCTTGGCCATCGTATCACCTCATAAGCCATGACACCATTATTCAATCTGTCAGACTGCTACAGAAACAAATGACATCTTTCAGCTGCACCACCAGTGACTGATTTAAAGAGCAAACACATCACTGCCTTAACCGGTTTAGAAAGCAAGAATGACTTCATCTTCCCGACTACCAGCCCAAGAAGGAGGAAAGAAAGAAAGAAGCATGAGGAACCCACCTGTCCGAGCCATCCTTCATGTGGACTTTGGCATAAAGGATGTCTGTCATGGCAGGGTCATCGTTCATGTACTCCACTCCTACCACTTCCACAGTCAATGGCTTGCCTGCAGCAATTTGGCTAAAATGCAACAAATCCCTGATGTTAAAAACCAAGACATCACACATGCTTCTGAAATATGATGCATACACCAAGTATTTGATTTTACTAGGGGAACGATATTAAATATATTTTTTGCTATAGTTAAATTTGAGGTTAAGTGGGACTTAAATGTTATATAGACCCCATGCAGCAGTGAACTCCAGCAAGATGTTCTTCTCTTTTCCAAATCACTGAAAAGAAAACCCCAAACCCAACACACACACAAAAGGCTCCCTAACTTCTAAAGCTTGAAAGGCTACAGGTGCTATTGTCTCACCATCAAAAGAAATACTGTAGAAACACTTGAATTTATACATTCAGTGTTTTAGACACACATTAAGTCAACTTGTCAGTATTCACAGGCCATCTCAGTGCAGATATCTCCATTTACATTTCAGAAAACCCATCAGCAGTTAAATGGTACAAGTTCTCATTCCAGAGAAGCTCCTGCCTTCCCCATGAAGAGAGTGATTGTGATAGCGACACAAAGTCCCCAGCTTGTTGATTTTCACTGGAAAATGTACTCAATACAGAATGCAGTTTTAAGTACATCTCAACATCCACTTACAAATGCCGGAAGTGAATAGAGCTCCAGCTACTCTTGCAGAAAAGCTAAACTGAAAATGCATGCAGGATATAATATGCACTCCCACACCTGCAAACACACTCTGAAGTGTATCTCGCTTCCAAACATGCTGTGTCCCTGCCTTTACCACCAGAACATCACAGGGAGGTAGGGCGCTGCAGTGAAAGCTCCTTGTAAGTAAGTGTCAACATCTCTAATGCTGAGGTCTCAGTACAGGGAGTGTCTGGACAGGCAAAAGCAATAAACAGGAGTTAACAACGTGAGCATGACTTTGCTCTAACCTTGCTCACTTCTGTTCAGCTTGCCCAAGAGACCGCCTTTGAGATTTTCTGCAAAGCTTCCCTGATGCAACAAGGAGATGGTGATTTCCCCTTCCAGTATGTATACTGGGAGGAAAAGAGCGTAAGTGTACTATCCTGCACATCAACACCAGAGCACAAAAGGCCACGTATTCTACAAAGAGTCAAAGAGTGCACATCCATGTTCACATAGTGCTGCCTGCATTTAGAAAAGTAAATAAATGCTAATAAAGGTTTATATGGGAGGAAGAGAGCCTAAATTAATTTTCAAAGTATATTTCTTTGGGTGTGGCAGTGGAAATAACCTAAGGGTTACATTCAAGTGTTGATTCCCCCTCCACTAAAGAGAATGGAGAATAAAGATTTTTTTCTGCCTCAGTTCAACTCACTTACAAGGAAGCTGGTGTCTTCCAAGTACTGTGGGCAGAGCCTTCCCCTGGAAACACACCTGCATATCTGTTCAATACCTGAACTGGAGCTCTCATTTTAAAGGCAGAGGTATGAATTTTGGCCATGCATTAATTCACACAGGTATTAGCTGGCACAGCATGGCTAATTCTTCACACACTGAGACAATAAATAAATAAATAGCAAGGATCTGTCCTCTATGTGCAAAGGTGTTGCAGAATCCCTCAGGCCATCTCCAATTTCTAAGCTGAACAGAGATAAGTTAATTACAGTGTCATTCAACCACGTTTACAGTTAAAGCCCTAAGATCAGCAGCTCAGTGTTAACAGGCTTTGAGAAAGCCTCAGTCCTGGAGCAGCACGGAGTGCTTCAAACTGATTACTTGCATGGCTTATGCTGGCTTCCCTGCACACAGCTCCCTGCATCAAGAAATGCATGTCAAGGACACCTCAGCATCTGCTCTTAGGCAGGAGGGAAGCATCATGCCAGAGCTCACTGCAGGCAAGCTGCAAAGGTAATGCAGCTTGTCCCTCCCTCTGCAGCAGGTAAAGGACAACAGCAAAAATTGCTCAGAAAAAAAGTAACAGGGAAGCATGTGAGAAAAAGAAATGCGAAGAGCAGGTTTTCTGCTGAGGGTTTGAGCTGAGCTGCAAGATGCTATTAAACTCTTTGTGACTGCTTGGTGATTTCTACTGCTCCCATTTGAAATGTTTTAGCCTTTTTCTAGACTTCTAGAGTTGAGATAGGCTACTGAGCAGTTTATCTCTTTGCTGTCCCTTGTCAAAGACAGCCTGCTGCTTTTCCCCCACTCAAGTACTTGGTGATGACAAGCCTTTTTTATCACTTACTCCACAAAGTCCTCTTTGCATTGCTGTAGGAGGTCACATGCTTTCTGGATCTCTTGTTCGTTCAGAAGTACCAGCGTCCCAAGAGTCAGGTGAAGCTTAGAAGGGTTCTGGAACAGGCTGCTGCTGACCCCGTGATCCTACAAATCAGTCCATATATAGGTGTCTTATCATACACGCACACACCTCCATCAGAGGGATAAATAGTACAGACAACAGGTACCAAGCCACTAGCGCCAAACCTTTTATCTCTGCATCACTGGTCGGGTTGGTAGTGGCTCAAAGTTGAAATGAGAAACAAAATTTCACAGGCTTTGTGAGCAAGTGAGCTCAGGCTGGCAGGCAAGCGCAGCCCCCCACCACACACACACTCCCTGCCTGCCTTTTCATCAGAGCTGATGAACAGCAGCCTGGAAGCTCGTTATGACAGGCTCTAACTCAGGGCGCAGGAACAGCAGCCCTCGCTCATATGGGGTTTCGAGAGCAGACTTCCAGAGCTGTCAAAGTGGCAGCTGCCATCAGCAGTGAACTCAACACAAGTCAGCACAGATTTAAAACTTGAGTTAAGCTCATTTTTTATGCAATAAAGCTGGAACCAGCTGTAGTGACAAGCTCTAAATGGTCTCTAAATCCTGTCTAAACACAGGTTGCACCTCACAACACAAGCACAGCTAATACCAGCTCTGATAATTACATTTTTCTTGTTCCCATGTGCCCTATAGTTTGCTGAGATGAATTAAATTTAAATTCCTTTTATAAGAAGTGCTACGTGTTGTTGCTGGGGAAGAACTGTTCCCAGGTGGAGCAGTGGTTACATTCAGCTTTAAGAGACATGCTCTTTTGTTCTAGGATGTTTATAAAAATACCTCGAGGATGGTTAACACACCCATATTAAAACAATTATTTCCACTTAGTGGCCATTTCCCATCAGTGCATTAAATAAACTCCACTTTTAACTCCAGATGAAGCTAACTTGCCAGACCACTGAAGCCCTTCTCTCTCTGATAAAAGCCCACTGACTGAGAAGGCCAGCTTTGAAGTTCCTAGTTGTGCTTCAATTTGAAATAAAACCTTTTGGATGTTTAAACACTGCAGTATCTCACCCCATCACAGTTTGATGCCCCACATGTCACTTGGTATTTTTCATGTTTAATGACAACATCTATATCCTTCTTTACAGCTGTGCTTATGGGCTGGACTAGAAACAAGCCAGACTGCAAGAGAGAGGTCTGGGTCTTGCCCCAGCAGTCATAGGCTGGCAAAGTATGGTGAGCCCCAGAAGAGGGACAGCATGTACATGCCTTCCACAGCTGCTACTTACTGCTGACTGAAACCCCAAATCATACCACGCTAGTAGTGGCAAAGGATGTTGCAAACCTCAGCACTGTGCAGCAGCATGACACAAGCAGAGACTATGTCAGGCACATTAGGAGCAGAGGAAGGAGGGACAGCTCCTTCTCACTTCTCCCCACCTTCCCCTCACTGTGGTAAAAGCCTTGCGGCTTCTTTTAACTCATCCTGCTGTTAACATGCATGACAGGACATGATTCCTCTCCATCAGCCTTTTTTTCTCCAATGGTATCCATAGCCAGAGAGTATTTGGCCCATCTCAAAATAATAGAAACTGGGAGAAAGTTCGATTTATCCTTGCCAAGGACAACCAGACAGTGTAAATCCCACAGTGTGCACAGATGATGTACAGTAATGAGAAAGCAGTCCACAGGTCAGAAAGCAAAAGTCCTATCCTCATTTTTTGCCCCAGCATGATCTGTACTGCAAATATCAACCTGTCCCAAAAGCAGCATTTCCCCTTGAGCTTTCCAGCACCTGAGTGTGGGCTGATAACTGACAAAGTGATGGCATGTCGTCTCCACATGCCACGCTACCACTGCTGGAGAGATCAGCAGGGAAGAGAAGTACACAGTGAGCAGACCAAGACCTAGATAATCTTGGTTTACGCCCTAGTATTTCAGACAGCTCCTAAAAACCCCGCTTACAGCCCTACTCTTTCACAGGCCAGCACATCCCACTTCTCCCACACAGAAAACAGATGCTACGTCAGATGTAGCTCTCCCCGGAACAGGCAACGTTTCTGCAGGCATCTGAGCAGCCCTTCATGGCTGGATGCTGTTCAGCAAGGTGCAAGAAAGCTTGAGCCTACTTATTCAAATCCCAGATGACGATATGCTATCAGCAACCACTGCGTTGCCTTATGGGAAGCTGTCCTGTCCAGTGGTATCAGCTCTTTGCAACCTGACCAGCAGCACCAGACAACAGCAATGCAGAGCCTAGAAATATGTTTTCATAACTACTGTTAAGGAAAAATCACATCCTCCCCCAGGAAGAACAAGACCAAGAGATGTGATCCTGTCAATGTTGTGATTTGGGGTCTCTATGGACATCTTCCAAATACTTAAGGAACCCTTTCAAGGTAACCTACAACCACAAAAGCAGGAGTAAGGAGTGAGATTCACCATCAGAGATGGACAGAGATCCACTGGCATCTAAGACATGCTCTCCAAGTGCCTCTAGGTGACAAGTTCCTCTTTCACCAGTTTCCTCCCCCATATAATGGAAGGTGGGCACTCCTCATAGCACACATCAGTGGCTTGTGACAAGCAGTGGCTTCCTGCCTTCATGAAAGCACAGCATGAGATCAGGGGAGGGGGGGTGTCACAGCAGAGAATCCCTGTATTCTACAGGGGAATCTGAAAGCAGCATATTTGAGGGTACTTGCTGGCAGATACAAACACGTAAACCAGACTCTATCATCTCTCTAAATGTTTACTGTTCAAACTTTGGTTCTCTAAGGGTGTATTGAGAGACAGGGAGAACACCCACTTTACATACTATCTGTATACAATGACTGTCCATTTTAGCTTATTCCTTTTCTCTGACACTGCTTGGTCATGGTTAAAAAATTACAACTCATTTCCACTCAGCCTTAGAAATTAATTTTTTTACTTCCTCCTGCTACTTAGACTTCTACTTTTGCTCTCTTCCTGTAGAAGAAACATAGCAAGCATTTTATCTGGAGTCTTCACCTTTCTTTGCAAAGCCCAAGCACATTGTTCCTCCAAATCTAAAGCCCTGAAGTAGGGAAACCACAGACCAAAACACACTTCAGTGGTTCTACAAGACAAGGCAAAGAATTAATCTTAGCTTTTCCTTCCTGGTTGTGTCTTGTCTGCTGTCTTAAGAGCTTCCAGTGTGTCCTGGGTTCAGCAGTAGCAGTCATTTTTCTCCTTTTTAGTAGCTGGTGCAGTGCTGTGTTTTTGCCTTTCAGCCTGGGAACAACACTGATAACACTGATGGTTTTAGTTGTTGCTCAGTAATGTTTACTCTGACCAAGGACTTTCTGAGTCTCATGCTCTGCCAGGGAGGAGGGGAAGCCAGGAGGAAGCAGAGACAGGACACCTGACCCAAACTGACCGAAGAGGTATTCCATACCACAGCACGTCATGCCCAGTACATAAACTGGAGGGAGTTACCTGTAAGGCCCAGATCACTGCTCCGGTCGGGCTGGGTATCGGTCGGTGGGTGGTGAGTGGCTGTATTCTCTCCCCTTGTTATTCCCCTTATCATTGTTATTGTTGGTGGTAGCAGCAGTGGTTTGTGTTACACCTTAGTTACTGGACTGTTCTTATCTCAACCTGTGGGAGTTACATTCTTTCCATTCTCCTCCCCATCCCTCTGGGAGCAGGGCAAGGAAAAAGTTGGGGAGTGAGCGAGCAGCTGTGTGGTTCTGAGTTACCAGCTGGGCTTAAACCATGACACAGTGTCTGCAGACAGCTTCATGTTTTCGAGGTTTTTTTCTCAGTAGCAGGGTACTGCATGCCAGCTATATGCCATCTCCCCCCCTGACCCACGAGCAAAAGAGGAAGCCAGATAAACAGCGTTTCCTCAGAACTGACTGAAGAGCTGTAGGCTGAGAAAACCCTCCCATTTTCAGTCCCTTCCACTTTGAGATATATTATCTCATTAGCAATGTTTGATATTTACAGGTTGCCATATATTACAGCAATCATACTTCTTCTCCATACTACATGTTGAGCCTGTTGAGACTGTAAATGCTGCATTTGCACAGCTCTGAAAGATCCAACTGTGATTTTTCACAACAATATTACTGCGAAGTCTTTTCCCTTTTCCACTTGCATACTCAGACATTTCGGTTTTCTTCACTCTGACACCTACATCACTGTGAGAGGAGACTTCCAAGGTCACCAGTCGTCTGGACTTCCCACTGCACCACATCAAGTAATGAGCCTGCCCAGGTGAGCCACCTCTCCGTATCTATTAAATAAGCCTCCAAAGAGCCTCCCCTCAGCCCTACTTCATTGCCTCACCTGGCAGCCCTGATCATACAGTAACATGAATGACATCTGAAGTTCTCCATATTTCAACCAAGGTTTATCTTATAAGATGTCTTGAAGACACACATGAAAAAAAACCTAGAAAGCATATGCCCACCAACATAACCCTATGATTTAAAATATAAATGAATGGTTGTCATGGTAACTGCTTCAGAGAGAAATACAGTCCCTCACAAATGCTCAAAGGCCGGAAGAAATCCTCATACGTGCACATCTGGTCCTTTCCCTTCCTTACCCTTATTACCAAGCTTCCAAGGCTGAAGTTTACCTAATTCTGCAATGTTTCACACCAGTAAATCGCAAGAGAAGCACACCACTTCTGTCACTGAAACCTATTCAGATTTCTCCAAGTATCCTGAGAAATCCCATTGCTTTGGACAAATCTATAAGCTCTCTTATTGCTCTGTGAGGCACCGTTGTGAATTACTGTTTTTCATTACTGATGTGCCTTCCAGCAGACCCTGCTGTGAGATAAAGTGGTATTAGAGTGGCATTACTGGCTGGTGGAGTGATTGAGACACATACGGGGCTGCAAGATACTCCTTGAACTAACAGACAGCAATAGATCTACAAACCCTTTTGCTAATACCAGGAGAAGGAAGAGCAGAAAAAGAAAGCACCATATATTTCTAGGCTGTAAATATGCAAACCCCCAAATATCTGTTACTGTTCGAATTCTACATTTCAAACTACAAATGAAAACTCTAGATCTGATGTAAGCTGTACCAGGAACATTTCAGGCCCTCCTGGGAGGCTAACACAACCACATACCTTTCAGGTCAGGGAACCTAGCACCCATGTAGTATGGAGAGCAGGAACTACATTCCCAGACCTTCTGCCTCCACCCACGCAGATGTGTCCTGCTATAGGGCAGCTTCAGCTGTCACAATTCTGGGAGATTCCCAAAAGCACCTTGATGACTCAGCTGGAGCAAAAGGCATGCTATTGTCTTAAGTGCCACACTCTCTCAGATACATTGTTACTGGTATTAGGAAGATTCACACCTGGGTGCTGGTTCTAAGTACAGTTCAAGCCTGAGGTTACTGAAAGGCGGAAGTAACTGTTAAGTTGAATTGTGTTTCCATGGTCGCATCCATGCTGCAGGATCCCTGACCATGAAGCAGAGCCTTGTAGTACCCTGTGCTGTCCAGACACAGAACAAAAATTGCGAGAGAGAGAGAAGGTCAGGCAAGAGGAGGAAAACTTAACATGACTAGCCTGGTCAGCAGTGGTCTCAGCACTCCTCTGACCACGTCTTGGTTTCTGTAGCTTTCTAGGACCAGGAACATGTGAAGGTTTGCAGATGCTCCCAGGCAGCTTCTTCTGAATGTAACCGAAAACACTGGGGAAAGCACCAAGGTAAATGTTTCAAAGTGGATGGCAGACTCCCTGCCTACTCAGGGATGCAAACTGATACCGAAGAGTGAGCAAGAGGCAAACGATGTGACAGAGACAGATCAGGAGGGGTCTGAAGAACAAGTAAGATGACAAACTAAGTCTGGACCAATGGAGGTCTGCAGAGATGCAACCAAATGAACAAGCCTGAAAGACGAGTGCTCTTCAAGGAGAAGAGCTAGTCCTGTGTGAGGCCAGTGTGTTGCTGTATTAAAGAAATAGGATTAGAGCACAAACAACAGCATTAGCTGCAAAGATGAATAAAAGAGGCCACATCTAAAATGTGACATTTAAGATGTGACACTGAAAGGATCTGCTTGACAACCAAGGCAGCCTGGAAGCCAGAACCCAGCAAAGCACAGGGGATAACACTGAGGTTACTTCCCTGAATAGCAGGCAGGTCTGGGTTTGCTGTGAAAGGGAGGGAGAAGAGAGACTCACAAGACCTGATGGCAGAAAGCTAGAGGAGTATCAGATAAGCAGAGTCCTGGACACCAAGGCTTCAAACAGAGCAGGGCCAGATCTCAAGGGAGATCAATTGATAGGACTTTAACAGCCATAAGCCTAAGTAGAAGGGGATAAAGGACAAGAGAAACACCAGACTGAAAGCAATGGTCTCAGTCCACAGGCAACAGCATGAGCAGCCATGACCAGAGCCCTGTGCTGAAGTCACCAGCCCTCAGAGCCATTTCTCTCTGTATAACTTTGATGTGTCCCACACAAGGACTGGAAGTAGGAACCAACAGAGGGAGCCACGCCACCACTAATGCCAGCCCAAGGTCAGGCACTCTGTCCAGCCAACATTTTCTCAGGCTAATATTTCCATCCCCTTATCTTCAGGGCTTTCCATTGATAAAGTAAGCTTTAATAAATGTAGCTGCCACTGGCTAACCGCTATAGATGATCAAGCCTAGCCCAAGGAAAGAGTGCTTGTGGCACTGCACTGTTTGCTAATCCCTGGATTTGTTGGCCAGTTTCAGCTGTATCTAACATCAGGTGGAAACCTGAGTGATAGAAAGCTCCTAAAATGTCATGGAAACAGGCAGCTGGGCAGAGAGGGACTGCCAGCAAAGACAAGACTGCAAAGACAGCTCAGTTCTGCTCCTGGAGATGAGAAAACTGACATGCACATGACCATGAAAACTTGAGCAAGAACTTGTACCTCCCCAGATACCAGATAATTCACACCCACAGCATGCATAGGAAACTAAACTTAAGCTGTGACAGCTGCAAAACTGTATTTTCCCTTTTGAAGGGCATAAGCAGAAGTGACAGACATGAATGTAAGAATATCAGCCCCCAAAACCCTGCTGCTTGTAAACAGTCTAACCTGTGGTCACCACAGAGGAACTCTTTTCTTTAGCCTAGAGATGTCCTCCCAGCAGACTCAGAGGGTACAGCAATTTAATACCACTACCTCCCCTCAGCCTGGGCCTGTGCATTGACATACCACTTCTGCCAAACTAGAAGCATGCTAAAATAAACCAGGGAATACACAGCTTTCACTTCATTCTGTTCCTCTTTTCTCTATGCTTAAGTATTTCCTGCTGCCCTCAGTCATCTGAAGGTAGGTAGGAGGGACTGTCAGCACAAAGTCTCTCGGGGAAGAAGGGAAGCAATTAGATTTGCAGGATGGCATGTGCTACCAAGTAACTTCTTGCTCAGTTCTGGTAATGACACTCATCTTCCTTTACTGTCAGTAACCAGAAGAAAAGTGAAATAGAAGCAGCAGCAAACTTGTGAATTCCTACTTGGTTTCATGGTTAGGTAGAAATCATACAAAACATAGAGAGGTCCACTACATTATTTAGTAGATTTCCTATTAAAACCAAAAAACCCCAACCCTCTTTTGAATCTTAGGTATCTTCTCACCTAGGAAAATCTCTAAGGAGAGCAAAGTATTTTACTAACGATTTGCTAAGTAAGCCATTTCACTTTCCATAAGATTTCACAACAGCACTGAACTAATTCACAGCAGATTCACCAACTTAAATAAAAGGCCTGTTAAAAACACATTCAGGAAACAGAACAGAATAAGGCCCTCAAGGTAAATGCTAAAAAGCTATCTCAATAAATTAAATGGCAGTCTGATGAAGGGCTCCCACTTGATTTTGTGGATCCTTACCTTTGAGCATTTCTCCAGCACCTCTTCCTTGAACTGCAGGAACTTCTCCTGGATGGTGGGTTGGTTGAGAGCCAAAGACAGGAAGTGTGTGAAGGGCTGCTTCTTACGGAAGCTGTCCAGGAGAACATCAATCCGCGTTCGGGCAGAGATGACACCACTGCGATACTGCCCAGTAATCACTACAAGGAAACAAAGCAGTATACCTGTCTCATTTCTGTGAAGCTACAGGGAAGCTCCTGACACTAATGCCCACGCAAGATAGAGAGTAATTACATGGACTGTGATTTTACATTATACTTATCCATGCACTTTAAAATATCAGTATTGGAGGATATTGTGAAGGTAGGAACATTTCACCCAGGCGATGCCAGGAAGGAATCAGAAAAGCCTGCACAGCAGCACCTCCCCAGTGTTAGCCTCAGGCTCACTGAAGAAGCGTTAGGAATTAAACCCCCAAACTATGCACAGAGACATCTTCCCAGACTGCCTGCTTGACTTAAAATGCCTGACATGGGTATGCCTTCCTCTGTACAGACAGGATGATGCCATCAAAAGTATCCCTCTGCTCTCAAGAAAGTCAGCTCTGAGTGCCTTAAAAAAAATAGCTAAGAGTCTATCATTTCAGCATCTCTTCAGATTTCTAGGGCATTATTTCAAGTTTTCACAAAGGCAGTCAAAGCCAAAAAGAAAAGAAAATCTATTAAAGATCAAGATGGCCTCTATCATCTGTGCATGCACTTCAAGGCACCAAACAGAGAACACTTGAGCTTGAAAGGAAAAAACTGCAAAGAGCAAAATTTTCTTGGCTTCCTGTTATTACATGTTTTCAACATCTCTCAACCTTCCTAATAGTCCTTCACAGTTCTCAGGAAGAATTCAAGATACACTTGTTGAGAAGTATTGCCACATTCCTGTGCAGCACCACAGTTAGATCCCCCTTGGTCACTTTTTCCTCACAGCTCTGTCATGAATGTAACTGTACAGCGTGCCATTTATCACCAGGGTGTGCGTAATGGGCCTTCCAGAGAGCCACTCGGACAGAAACCCACAGGGGCCAGCCCTGAAGAGCAATGCCTTCTTTCTTTTTAAGTCACTGGAAGTGATGAGAAGGAACATATGGTACCAGAAAGTCTGCTCTCACTATCAGGATCAAGTGACTACACCAGAAAGGCAGCAACGTCATCGAACACTTCCCATATTAAAGCAGACGCTGAAGTTTATTTTGTGCATAAGTATACAACATGGTGACTTTTTCTGGATGGGTATTACAGTTTCTTATTAATGGAAATGGTATTTTAAAAACAAAACAAAAAATCCAACACATTCATGCCCAAAGTTTTCAAGCCAGTCATTTGAGGCCCAGAATTTACTTCAATTGGACTATTCATAGATTTAAAATAGATCTTTTTTCCCCAAAAAATCCTTTACACTGCTTTATAATGATTTATAGACAAGAAAAAAGTACTCAGGAGAAAAGTGAAGTGATTTTCCCATGGCCATAAAGTGAGTCAGTGCCATGTCACAAGCAGGAATTAAAACGAAAACCAAAACATCTCTTGTGCCTCCTCCCTGCTAAAATTGCGTATGCGCAAGAGCTGATGAGAGAACCCCCATTTTGTGCATGTTAAACTCACCAATTTCTCCTTCCACTCCAAGCTTGGGAATGCTGATGGAGGTTCGAGTCTCTGTTTCTAGTCTTTTCTTGGTTTCCCCTTTCTTCCCGATGATGTACCTGAGGCATAAAAACGCAAGACAGTCACTCATACAGTGTCGCTGGGCCACTCTCCATCAAGTGTGTCCAGCCATGCCACAGATGAACCTCACTTTGAAGTTGGCTCCAGGCAACTGGGTTCCCCAACACTAGGGATCTCCATGCTGGAGGGATGAATGCACACAGCTCCATGAGCAGGACTCGGTTCAGGTACAGAGTCTGCTCCCAAGATGCTGCATGTGACCAGCCTAGGACCAAGGGACAATGTGGAGCTGTGGCTCACAACTAGCTTAAACTAAAATAAGTCAGCTGTCCATGACAGCTCTGCCCAGCACATCCTGCCGCTGCTTATTTGTCTGCTGGGTTATCCCTTTTTCCCATTACCCCAGCTGATGAAGAACTAAGAGCTCTTTTTCTGCTTTTTGCTTCGCTCAAGCATCCAAACACACAACAGAACATTTCTGCTTCCCTATATTGCAGTAAAACTATTCAACCAATAAAACTGTCAAAATAACTAAATAAAGCTTTGAACACTACAGGCATCCCAGGAAACATCAGATTGGAGTCAACAGTCAATTCCAGTCATGTGTGCTTTCTCTCAAAGCTTTCACAAATTCCCTTTGCCCGGCTGCTGGCCCCAGTCCTTCCTCCCCTTCTCCCACCCCCCGATGCTTTTATGTTCAAGGGAAGAGAAGCTCAAAAACCCTTCTGCCAGCAAGAAAGCACCACCTGCTGTCTCCGTCACAGGGAAGGCTAGGAGTCAAGCATGGCACAACTGTGCTAGAAAGGCATTGCCAGTTTTCCCTTCCCAAAAGCTAAAATCCACATCCACATAACGTAATACACTTCAGAGATCCGGTGCTTACCCCAACCTCAAAAAAAAATAATATTCTGCACTCAAGCACTTCCTCAGCTGGCGGAAACTCAAATAAACCAGGAACACACAGGCTCACTTGTATAACAGGCTGGGAACCTCCACTCTGCACTGGAAGCCTTTCTCAGTCTCTTCCACCACAAAGGCATCACAGGGCTCATCTGCACAGTCACCAGGGCCTAACAGAAAAAAACCAACAGACCTTGTACAACCTTTGTGAAGTTTGGCAGCTTTATGTAGGACAGTAGTCTCACAGGCTTCTTTTCCCAAGGTTAACTAAAGGAAGAAATGGACTCCTCTCTATTGAGGCTAACTGCTTTTTATTTCACCTTACTACCAGCTCCAGAAAACATAATGACTGCTTCTAAATCCACCACACTGGGAGGTGTAGGAAAGTGATAGTTACAGCCCAGGTTTTCTCTCAGGTGGAAGTTGTGCAAATACCCAGCGAAAATGGTCTCTGCTGGCAGGGTGGAAGCTGCCAGCCCATTCAGAGACCTGAGCAGGAATTTAAAGTCACAGAAGAATACAAATAGAAGGTGAGGATAGTTTTGGTTCAAGGGTACAGGTATAGTGTTTTGGAAATCAGTTCTCATACCCTCGGCATGGAAGATCCACACAGCCAATCTGTTTTCCTCTTTTACCAGAAATCTTTCACAGTCAGCAAGCAACCTGACAGTCAGCAGCACAGTCACCCAATCCACATTAAGTAACTGGGATTACGTCCATTTTGGTCAACAGGATTATCAGGGACCAACACAAAGTATTTTTCTCCCTCTCAAACACTTTGCTTCATCAGGTCCTTGTAGCACATAAAGACATGAGAGATGACACCAAGAGCTCCCTAGATGCCCAGTGTCGATGCTTTCACCTGTAACATGTCCTGACAGCACCACAGTCACCCTTCAAGCCTCACTCTTTACCTGCACAGAAATCATCCTCCTCTTCATGCTGGTAGGCCTGCTCTTGAATGACATTCTTCCTGTACACCCGCCCCTCGATCCTTATCAGGGTGGGCCGCAGAACGTCCATCCTGCTCGTCCTCCTAATGCAGGAACAAAGACAGCTTTGCTAACATATGCCAACAAAAGGTAAATGTCACTGTTTCCTCAAGCATAATTTGCAAGAGGCATCAGGGGAGCTCTGAGGGGCTCAGCAGTAAAGAGCGAGGTCTGTACCTCCAGAAGAGCAATACCTCCTTCTATGCATACGTATAAGAGACTTCAGAAAGGCAATGCCTTTTCAAACCTTGCCTTACTTGTTCAGAGAATTTACAAGCATACTCTTTGTCAGCTCACGAAGCACAATCAAGTAAAAATGGGAAATTTAAGTAATGTGTTTTAGTTAAAACTCTCTGTGGCCTCAATGTGCCTTTTCAGCACCGCTCAGGATTGTGAACCATTCTGCCTCGTAATTTTCCATAGCTGCAAAGCAAAGAGACCCCAGCCTCTTGCAAAGATTCCCATACAACACTGACCTCTCTCAAAACACCTGACATCCTCCATTTGTTTCTCTCTCAAAAGCCCAAGGAGCTTTTCAAAAGCAAAGCCAGTTCCCTTGGATGTGCTCTGGAGGCAGCTGGGGAAGGGACACAAAGCACAGAGAGAAGCTTACAGCGCTGCTGTAAGTGGTTACACCTCCTGCCTCCAGTGCAGAGCACTGCAGTAAGTTTGAGGCATAGGCATAGAAGTCTTACCCTGCCCTGCATTATTCCAAACAACATCAGAAACACGGGGCAGAGTTAAACTTCTTGTGGTGGAGACCACTGAATGGTGCAAAAGCAAAGCACTGCCAGTCATCACCAGACTTCACACTCTCAGTACATAAATGCCTGTGTTCACTGAAACTGTTAACACTGCCTATCTCAGTTGGCCTTGCTCTTAAACCAGAAATTTTGTTACTCAGAAAACAGTCTCCACCAAAAAATTTGCCTTCATCACCTGATGTTACATTTAAATAAAAAGGCATTCCTGTAGGTCAGTGAAAGAAGTGCAGAGGCAACAACCTCAATCTGCGCCAGGGAATGTTTACATTGGATATTAGGAACAATTTCTTCAGAGGGGTTAATCAGCCATTGGAACAGGCTGTCCAGGGCAGTGATGGAATCACCGCCCCTGGAAGTGTTCAAAAACCGTGTGGATGAGGCCCTAGGTGACATAGCTTAGTGGTGGACTTGGCAGTGCTGAGGTAATGGTTGGACTTGATGAGCTTGAATGTTTTTTCCAACCGAGTTGATTCTATCATTCTATGTGAACTCTGCACAGAGGAAGACAGAATAAGGCAAGAAAAGAAGTTACGGTTGTTAGTGTTTTGGTTTCACTCAGCTTTTGGGCTTTGTGTTGTTTTTAACGGCAGCGCCGGTGTCAGAATTCCCCGACGCGAGAGCTCAGGAGCGGCCACACCCCTCTGGCCCGGCCCTGCCTGGCGGCCCCACTCCCAGGCAGGCAGAGGAACGCTGCGAGGCGCTGAGGATGGGGTGCCCCTGGCCGGAGACCGGGAGGGAGGCGCATGGGGCAGCACCGCCAGCCCCCGCCTCAGCCGCCGCGGGTAACGGCGGCCGTTGCCAACGGTTACCGCTAGCACCACCCACCTCCCCCATTCCCGACGGAAGTAGGCAGGGGCCGCGCGCGGAGCGCGCCCGCCCGCCCCAGCATGCACCGCGAGCGCGATCACGCGCGCCGCCTGCGCCAAGCCGTCCGGGCGCCCAGGTGAGGTTCGGAGGGACCGGCGCACCCCGGGAGCAGGCGGGGGGCGTCCCGGGAGGAGAAGGGCCCTCAGCTTAGCCGGAGCGGGGAAAGAAGCTGGCGGCGGAGGCCGCACTCACCGAGAAGCCGCTCGCTACGGAAGCCGGGGAGGGGCCATGGTGGCAGAGGGTGGGGGGGCGGAGCCTGGGGCGGGAGGCGCATGCGTTATGGCAGCTACAGAGGCAGCTGCGTCGCTCGGCGGCCGTGTGGGTAGGATTTGCCGCTGCGCATGCGCATTACCGGCAGTTCCTCCCCTCGCCGCTTAGCCCGCGGGCGCTGTCCCCGTCCAAGGTGGCCGGGCCTGAGGCTGTGGCGTTGATGGCGAAGGTGCTGTTGTCGATATGTCCTGCCGTCCTCCTCCTCTGCATTTGCCTCAGCGTATTTAATATGAAATCCTGAACCTGTACGAGGACTCCGCCGTGTTTGCAAGTATCATTTCAGCACAAATCATAACCTTGCTTCCCTCACGGGCGGAAGCAGGGCTTGCTCAGGGTTGCTGAGGAAGGTGTTTCTGGACATACCGTAACCATATTAAAGGCTTCTTTTATTCAGGCGTTGTTCTTCACAATCTCTAAGCCCCCAGCCTCCTGCCAGCTGCTGTGCTGGTTTGTATCACAAGCTTGAGCTATGTGAATGAACACACAATCCCTAGTTATGACATTTTGTCCACTAAATCCTTAAGTGCTTTCCAAAGGCACCATCTGCATAGCCTAAAGAGTCTGGAGAAGTGTATTAAGTAAGGAGGATAACAGAAATGTATTAAATGGGCAGGATAATTAGGAAGTGCTTGTAAGTGGTTTGGCAGAGTAGCAAGTGCTGTTTCTTACAAGTGCCAAGTGACAGCTTTTTTACTGTTGGAGAGGTATGTGACGAGTTTGAAGTACCTCATCATGGCAAGCTCTACAGCCAATTCCTTTTAAAAGCAAGGCTAGGAAAAGGGTATGTGAGAAGCGACCAGGCTTATGCTGTACAGGCAGGCAGGTGCTCAGCCATTGCCAGTTTAGGTCAGATGCAGTATTCCTAAAGCAAAAGCACATCTGGAGTGATTTCAGAGAGCAGTTGCTGTGAATGAGGCGTAGCGTGGCTTCGTGCAGGATGCAGCACTGGAACTGGCAGTTCCACCAGCTTCCAGGCTTTATGAGGAAGCAGCACTTTTTCTGTTTGTGCTCCTGGAAACAGGGCAAAAAAGGAAAATAAAATAAGTCTTTTAATGGCCTCTGGGGAGCAGGAAGAGCACGAGGCAGCTGAAGGCCAGTGAATTCAGGCCAGCGACCTGTACCGGGTTATTTTTATGCATGCTCTGATCGCCCTGCTGAGTTCCCAGGTCCCCTTGCTGCGGGGGTCAGAGCCTGGGTTACCTTCAGTTTCTGGGTGCCACCGCGTGGTGTGACAGCTAACTGCAGCTGTCCCTGCAGTGGGTGCATGCACTGTGTGCATGCAGCAGGCGCGGGCGGCCTCTCTAAGGCATGCAGGGCAGCCTGAAACCACCAGAGCTTTGAGGCTGCTGAGCCACAGAGGGGGGTGGCAGCCCAGAGCTGTGCTTCCTGCCTCTTCCTGGACCTCACTGCCTTCATCTGCCGTCAGATACGTGCACGATTTCTGGCTTTGTGCCCTGGGAAACTCCGAGACGCCCTTCCTAACTTGGCTTTGCTCCCTTTTTGTTCTTCCAGGCTGGGACGGGGTGAAATGGCAGCCTCTTCCTCATCCTCCTCAGCTGGCGGGGTCAGCGGCAGCTCTGTAACAGGATCAGGGTTCAGCGTTTCAGACCTGACACCGCCCCGAAAAGCCCTCTTCACTTACCCCAAGGGAGCCGGAGAGATGCTGGAAGGTGATTGCTCCTGCATTTTTCCTTCCTTGCTGCTCCTGATGTGCAGGCAACCCTGTAAAGGAGTTGCTGAACTTGGCACCCTGCTGCCTTTTCAGACTTCAGCTGGCAAAAGCTGAAGGGAGGGAGGAAGGAAGCACCAGGGCTCGGGTAGGTCCTGAGCAGCCCTGGCTCTCCCACCAGTTGCTCATGAGGAAGTGATTTTTCTGGCAGTCGCCTGTTTTTTAGCTTCATGACACTTCAGACGAGGAAGCAATCTACCTGAAAAGGAACATGACAGTGTTAATTGCTCATTGTTAGCTAATCCTTTGATGTTGGGCAGGAATTACTATAAAGATAGCTGAGGTAGGAGTATTTTTCTTGGCGAAATGCGTTCTCATGTTGGATTTGACTGGACTAGTACAGAAGGCAGCTTGTATCCCTTCTGGCCAGGAAACATAGGGCTTGCTTTTGCCCTCGACCTGTATAAAACCTTGCCACAGAGGTCTGCAACAGGATAAATCAGAACTAGACATCTCCTTTAATCCTTCAAGCTGAGCACATTCCCCATTCAGGCTCAATTTTGTTGGAGTATTTCTGCAGAGCTGCCTGGAGAGGGCTGAGGGCTCTGATCCAGCACTGCATCTGGCGTTTGGGTGCCTGAGCCTGCCACCCTCTTCAACAGGGCTGCCTGAAGGAGGACCCACACACATGCAGCTGCATGTCCCTGCCCCTGCTCTGGGTGAGGGAGGAAGGGCAGGTCCTCCAGATGACAGGGTTAAACCAGGGTCTGTCTGTCTGCCAGCTCCCCTTGAACTTCCTGTGTTACTATGCTGCACACTTGACTGTATGAGCCTGAGGTTCATGGGGTGGCTGGGATTGGGGCTTGGGTGGCCCTGCACCTCAGAAGTGACACGGCAGTCCAGGGCAGCTGGGAACCGATCGCTACATCATTTAAGGACTGTTTTTATTACACATTAGAGGCCGTATGCCTGTCTATTGAAGTAATTATGACTGAAGGCTTGCTCACAGAACTTAACGAGCCCTCAAAACAAAATAATGAAACACTTCACATTACCAAATAGACAGGCAGCTAGAGAGCCACTCAGCAGGACAGCCAGGCTGGGGAGTCAGAAGAGAGGGAAGTGTGTATCTGGAAATAGCACAGGGCAGCACCAACACATCATTTCAACAGCTTGCGAGACGATGCTCTGAGCACAACAAAACCCCAGCTCATCCCTCCTACCTGGGATTCAGATTTTTCAGGTCCAGAGATCTGTTTCTGCCCTTAGTGTTTTAAATTGCTTCTCCCCTCATTTTTGTGGCATGGAGCTTTTTAGAGATTTTGCTTTGGGTTGACCTCTTTACCAGTAACAGCAGTTTGTCTGCTCTGGCTGGTACCAGCAACTAAACACTCTCCCTGTCACAAGAAGCTTTAGGTTGGGTTCTTAATGTCTGAGATAAAAGGTGATACACCCATTCTTTCATCTGGTGGGTACTAGAGGGTAGCTGCATATCCGTTTCTTGTTCAAAATCCTCACTGACTGACTTTTACTGTTACTTTAACTACCTTGCTTGTTTTTACATAAACCCTCAGATATTTTAGGATGTTTTTTAGAAGGGAGGAGTGTAAACTATATCAGTACTTGGCACACAATTCGCTATGTATTCCAGATTGCTTTATTTCTGGGACAGCTGTGTGATCAATTACTGATTTAGATGGCAAGAGATACACATTATTTGAAATCCTTTATACAGGGTTGTGGTCTAAGTCTGGGGGAAATCAGATAGCATTACAAGGACAGAAGCATCTGAGCCACGAGGGAATCAGAGACTGCCATAGTATTAGCTGGCTTCTCCTTAGCTTACCTTCTGTTTAAAATGGGCTAAAATTGCTTGACAGAGTATCAGCTGGGGTGTCTCCCAGGTGGCACATTCCCCAGCCACACTGGGAGCCGGCCAAAATGGTGCACAAGATTTTAGCACAGGGTCACAAGGGCTTGAAACCAGAGCAATGCGTGCTCAGTGCAGGACAAAGTGTTGGAACAAGGCAAGTAGGGAAACCCACAGCTCAGACATAAAAATAGAAGGTTGGTGGCACTCAGTTAAGGCTGCTCAGCCTTAAAACTCTCAGATTAAACCACCTCCCTTTTTCTGTTTACAGATGGCTCCGAAAGATTCCTCTGTGAATCTGTTTTCAGCTATCAGGTTGCATCTACATTAAAGCAAGTGAAACATGGTAAGCACTGAAGCGCCGTCTATTTTAACTGCATGTTGACCAGGAAAGATGGCAGGGGAACACAGAGAAAAGGCTGACATCTTCTCAGGTGCTGACCACAAAAAAGCAGAATAGCCTTTTAAGTTGGCAAATTAAGGCGAAGTCAGGCCATCATCAAGTCCTTTTGCAAGCCCTATGCAAAGCAAGGAGAACCCACACAGCCTGGGTGGGAACAGGCTGTGCCTTTCGAAGCTTGTTTTTCCATCTTTGTGTGCCGAACTGCCTTCGCGAGAGGTGAGGCCAGCAGGGGAGGTTATGGGCAGGAAACGCCCACACTCTGATCTTGGCCCAGCACTGACTGTCTCTATGGCCCCAGGCACACAGACACTTGATTCCACGTTTGGTTCTCTGCCGAGCCTGAGACCTTGTGACACCAGTAGGGTCAAGCCAGGTTTCCAAAGGTGCTCAGGAGATGGACACGCAGATGCCTGGTGTGGCGTGATGGGGCTGACTCCACTCCCTGCCTCCCCAAGGAAGAGCCTTACGTCTTGTTTGAACTGCTTCCTTCCTGGGGCTTTTGCCTAGCTGCCTATAACTGAATGATGGGCTTGACTGCACAGCAACTTTCATTCTCAAGTTACTGGGCAGAGCTCAGCACTGGCTTGTGTCTGCTGCTAAAGGGTCACATCCTTTCTGGTCCCCACCTCTTTTCAGCTAGAATGGGTACTTTCTTGTGTTGTCTCAGACCAGCGAGGTTTCCTGTCCTTCCACCAGCAAGGGTTGTCAGGAGGAGGTTTGGGCATGTGCAGCAGCCTGCAAGTCTGTGCTCCTGCATTTCTGAACCATAAAGCAAAGCCAAGCTTCAAAGCTATTGTTTCCACAGCCCTGGTGCTACTGCAGCTGTAACTACCAGGGGCTGCTGCACAGACTGGCACCCTGATAATCACCAGCCTTTGAAATTCATTTGTGGAGCACCAGTCCCCTCCCCATAAGAAAGGGGAAAGGCTTAAAAAAAGATTAAGGTCATCATTTTTTGGCTTGTTTGTTTGACAGTTCCCAGAAGCACTCAGCTGCAGGAGGTGGAGTGAGAACAGTCCCACTTAAAAGCACCCACTGCTGCAGTCAGCATAAATCATGCTCATTTCATGTTACGCCTCTTGCTATCAAGTGAGCTGTGCTGGGCCATTCTTCCAAGAGGCTGCTGTGCTGTTAAACTTCGAGCAGAACCAAGAGAAGAAGGGGCTGTTCTCATCTCCCTACCATGGCAGGCAATTTGACTGAAAATTGAGCCTGCATACCCAACACACAACTGGTTTAAAATAAAGCTAAGAGGAAGAAGATGTCTTGGGGATCCCCAGGGAGGCAGCCTTTGTGTCATTAGCATGCTTTGATTGCAGAGCCTTTCTGCTGGAGTCATCCAGGCCCTCCTCAAAGGACCTTCATTAAAATGAGGAGTTCCTTGGGCTGCACCCAGCTCTACCGTGGGCTGACCAAGCTCTCTCTGACCTTCTCTGTTCTTTTGCACTATAAATATTTATGCTAAAGAAATGAGCTTCATCCTGTTCTCACCCCCATATGCTAATCGGCCTCATGTTTCCCTGTTAGGACTTGAATTTAGATGGCACGGGCAGGGATGGGTAAATGCACAGTGAGCACCAGACAAGGCAGAAAAGCCTGTCCCTGCTTTCTCCTGAGGTCTCACCGTTTGCACAGGGTGTTGTGTAGAGTGGGTTTGTATTCAGATTGGCTCGGTGGGTTTTATTCTGCTCTGCTCCCCACTGGCAGCTGGGAATTTGCATCTAATGGAAAGGTTTGATTGCACTGTCACTGCAAACCACAGTTACCTTTGAACTTCTTGCAGATCAACAAGTCGCACGGATGGAAAAACTAGCCGGTTTGGTGGAAGAGCTGGAGGCAGATGAGTGGAGGTACAAGCCAATAGAGCAGCTCCTGGGATTCACTCCCTCCTCAGGCTGAGTGTGTGTGATTGCTGCTGTCAGGGAGGAGAAGTAAAACATTCTCTGGCCTGGCTTCAAAACACCCCCCCATTTATTAAGACGCTGACAGCTGCATTGGCAGGACTGGGTTTTTGTTGTGTTTTTTTTAAGTTGAGAGTAGGGATCCCCCCTAAAGCTGCCAGTAAATGGAAATGACGGGATTCTCCAAGTCCTCCGCGATGTTACGGGCTGGCGGGGCTCAGTTTCTGTAACTTAGAAGGTAGGATCAGTTTCACAGAACTTGGAGAATCACCTTATTGCTCATGGAGAAGGGAAGATTTACAGTGTGTGGTGGTGGGGAAAGCAACCCAGAAACTTGGCCTGGCCTTTCTCTGTGCGTGGCCGAAGGACCGGGTGATCAGTGAGATGCGAAGCGCGTGTCCTTGTTGCTCGAGCCAGGCCTCTGTAGAACACAGGTAGGCCATCCTGCCAAAAGCACTCTTCACCCCTAGCCATTGTTTTGGGGGATGAACAGGACAGGAACTGTCCCAGGTCGGTTAAGAGGGGGCAAGTGGTGATGCTTTTCTGCAGAGCCACCTCGTGTATCACTGGAGCTGTTTTCTCTCTCTTGCTGTTTCCCTTGTGTCTGCACAACAAGTGCTGGTAGGACACTGCTCTCTAATGCAGAAACTGTATCTTTAATACCCTGAAACTCTTTTTTTATCTTTGTTACATATTAGATTGCTCTGTGATAATAAAAGAATTGTGTCTTTGAAACCATTCATCTTTTCAAAGCTTGTGCAGGGGGGGTCTGATGAAAGAAACAGTCAGCTGTTCCATAGGTAATGGGAGGTTTAATGAAGCTCAGAAGCAGCTTGGCTGTTACAATGGTCAGCTTAAGTTCAATTTAAAATAAACCCTCTGAGAGGAACCAAACCACGCTTACTTTGTGCTCAAAAGTGGATTGATTTAAATCAGATTTTAATCCTTGTTTAGCTCTGCCAGCAGAAACCCCTTATTTAAATCCATCCGTTTTAATCATCTTGTTTTCATTTGTACTTCACTGCTGTTCTTGAAGGGAACTGGATTTCCATTTTCTGGCAGAATCATTTAAACATGTTCATTTTTCCACTGATTACAGCCTCAACACCACGTTTTTTCTAGCCAGCAAGCAGACAGGCTTAGCACTCTACTTAAGCAATTAGACCACTTATTGCTCCAGATGCCCAATTCTTCCATTTTCAACTTCTTATTTACAAGAGGATTTTATTTTTACTTACTATTTTAGTCCAGCCACATCTGGATTGAAACAGATTAATCTGAATCCATCCCCATCATAGTTATATGGCCAGCAATTTCTGTTAGCTAAAACTAAACGGGGGAAGTATGCAGGCATGTTCTGTATTTGTCTCTAAATTAGCCCTGGTATCAGAGTCAGCTTTTTGTGATCCAGAGCCACGTCACCCAAAAGCAAGCCTCGATCTGCAGACAAAGCCCTGGTTCCAGCCCTGTACCCCATGGAAAGGCACCATACGGTTTCTGAAAGGGTGTCTGGATGTTCTCACGTGTGGCTACAGCTCAGCTGAGATATGTCCCAGCCCGGAAAACCTCTTCCCGGTGCTGGCGGGCCGCCAGCCCCTGCTCTGCAGGGCCTCCTGCAAAGTAAGCTGGTCCTCCATCAGTACTGCTTTAAACATGATGGCATTTGGTATAAACTTCCATCCCCGAGTGGCTATTTTGAAAAGAAGGGAGCGTTTCAGTCATCAACCGTTTTCTTTTAAATCATCTGTTTTTAATCCTTACTCCAGACACCAAACTTATGTTGGCCAAACTAGTCAGAAATACCCCCTGTATCAAGACAGCCCGGTGGGGTTTGGGAACAGAGCTGTGCGCCTTCAGCTCTCTGCCGGCACAGCAGCGCCCCTCGCCCCTCGTACTGGCCTTGAGTCGCCCCCCCGTCGCTGCCCCTACGTGCTGCAGCCGGCGTAATCAGATACAGAAAGAGCTTTTCCTTTTTACTGCTCCACCTGAAACTTTTCCACTCTGCCAGCCCTCCAGGGAGACTGAGGGATTGGTGCCTGTGGCTCTGCTGGCAGGATGCAGTGCTCAAGCATTGCCCACATCTCCCTGCAAGCCCAGTGCGTGCACAAGGTTCTAAAATGGGGGGGGCTGAGATTTCCCTGAGGCAGGTCCCCCTCTTGTCCTCCACGCATTCCGTGTTTTCCAGCTGTTTCTTAGTGGTGTGCTAGGCTCATGGCTGAACAGAGCAGGAGCAGGGAACGTCCCGGCTCCATGCAGTACACGGCTTGTTTGTACGCTTGCCCAGCACCAAAATAGACACATGTGTGAGAGCCATTGAGAGGAAGTGAAAAGTTCAGCCTGTACAGTACTACAAATGCAAAAACATGTTGTTGGCTGTTCCCTCCCCTGGCTCAGTAAACACTTTATGTAAGGCAGCAAAAACTGGAGGGATTGCTGTACGTTAAACTAAAAAAGCTTTGCCCTCCCCCTCCTCCAAACACAGGTTTTCCCTGGCAGCTGGAAATTCCCCAGCTGCCCTGTTTGTGTTTTACAGGTCTGTGGAGCAGAGCCGGTGGTAACTATTCCTCCCCAGGGTTTTTTTTGAAGCCCTGTTGCTCCTCACCTCGGGGGTCTCTGCAGCACCATCAAGGGCCGGGTGATCCACGCTGGGGCTATTTGGAGGCTGCAGCTGGGAGGGGAGCAGCAGGGGGCAGGGAGCCCATCAGCTGTGAGCAAAAGTTGATGTGGGGAGGGGAGGGAAAGGAAAAAAAGCTGAACAAAGAGCCCCGTTCAGGGCTGCTAGTTAGTTTTCCTGTGGGTGCTTGCAGCAGAACGTTATGTACTGTGCGCAAGCCACACTCGTGCCTCCCCCCCACCCCCGGCTCCTCGCTGCTGGCCGCAACCCCAGTGCCGGCCGTGGCACCAAAGCACACGCTCGCCCTGTGGCTCGGCCAAACCACCCGGCTCAGGAGGGCCTCTGCCCACAGCCAGGATGCAGGACTGAGGGGCAGGCCCCCAGGCACCAGCTCATGGCTTTTACCTGGGGCAGGCAAATGAATGAACTCCGGAGATGAATTTCACAGCCCCCACCATGCAAATGGCACGATGCCAACCCAGCACTTGGCCTCTCGGCTGCCAAAACCCATCCACGGTCCTGCTTGTGTGCATGTTCCTTGTTTCTCCGCCCGACTCCCCCAGGTCGCGGGCAGGCAGCCTGCCTGCAGCTGCTTGTCCTGGGGGTAGAGAAGCCTGAAAGGTTCGGCTGTGGTGGAGACCTGCCCAGCCAGCAGCACGCCGGGACCTGCTGCAGCGTCCCACGCAGCTGCAGCCTTCAGCTTGCCTCTGAGAGCTGGCCCCAGGCTCAGCACGGTGGTGAAGGATGCATGGGGTCACCCCTTTTGTGCCTGTCACCCCCTGCCACCACTGGGGACCTGGTGAGTGCAGACAGGGCCAGAGAGAGTGCAAAAGGCACCCACACTCTGCAGGCACTTAGGCGACAGCCCAAAAACTGTGGCTTCCTTCCAGCTCAGACCCTTCCTTTGTTACATTCGCCACTTGGACACAGAGGATCACACCAGCCTCTGTGCCAACCCCAGCTGGCAACTGTGTGCCAGAACAATGTGTAAAACTACCTAAAAACAGCTTTTGGGGCAGTGGAGCTGCTGAAACCCAGTGTGAAGACAGGGACCACACCATGAGCAGTGGCAGCCACCCCTGCTAGGAATGTGCCCCCCCGCATATGTGGGACACGGTTTGCACCCAACGTGCACAGAGGCACTCACTGAGGCCCCCCAACCGGTACATCCCCTCCCCTCCCTTCCTCCTCCTCCTCCTTCTCCTCCGGCCCCTCCCCCTGCAGCCCTGCAGAACTGCTGAGCTCAGCACATCCCGGGCAGGGGCCTAGCCAGGACCCTCCCCAGTGCCAGCCACCCTGACAGCTCCGGCTTAACCCTTTGCAAAGCCGGCCAGGCAGGAAATGGGAGTGATGGAGCAAATCTCATTTGGGGGGTGTGGTATGTGTGTGTCCCACAAGGCACAGCAAGCCGGGAACAGTCTGTCCAGAAAGCTTCACCCATCATCCCGAGCCCCCTCTGCTCTCCGCAGAAAGGACTGCGGGTCAGGGGGAGGGATACACTGCTTGGCTACAGAAATCATGCTGGGTTGATGCCAGCAGCAGTTCCTGGGGAGGGGAAGCACAGGGATTGCAAACACTGTAGTTAAAACTTTGCTTTCTAGCACCAGACCGTTTCTAGAGGCTCTCCTCAGCCGCGGTTGCAGCCTCTTTTGCGAAGGAAAAGGAGCTGCAAGCTCCGCATCCCCTCCCCTCCCAGCAGAAGCAGGAGCGTGCAGCATTGTGTTAGGATTGTTTGATTTCAGAGATCAGAACTTGCATCTCACTTTAAAGGCTGCCATCACAGCAGAGGCTGCCTGCTTCCCTGCCTGCCAGGCAGTGTTATGGCAAAGAAAAATATTTATGCTGGGCTTCAGAATTCAAGGTTATTTATAGCAGGGCACCTTCCCTGTGGCCCTGTACCTCCTTTTCATTTATTTGCCGTTTTCCCCGTTTTGACCCCAAAGCCAGCAGTTCCTCATCTATTTTCAGCCTCACCCAGGGAACACTTGCACCAATCACTTGGTGGCTGTGGGGAGAAAAAAGCCACGAGCTAGACTTTGTTAAAAACAGGATCCCAAGCACCATCCAGCCATTCCCGAGTGTGTGTGTGCATACTTTGCTGCACTGCGCCGCAAGTACACAAGTATCGATGTGTATTTTTAACAGTTGGGATTGGTTCATGCTTTGTCCCAAAAGCAGAGCAGTGGCCTTGCATGCCATGGGAGCAAGCCAGGGCTTGTTCCCAGCTCTCCATACAGCCCCTCTGGCCCACACCTCCCTGGGATGCTACGCGCTCCCCTGGCTTGGGCCTCCGCTCCCAAAGCAGCGACAGATCCAAGCCCTGCTTCTGCTTTGACTCCCACCACTACAGCTGCTGGTGGGGTGTCCGGACCCTCACACCTGTCACCCAGCACAGAGGTCACTCAGCAAGCATGCTGCTGACATGGAGAGCCTGTCCCCCTCCCTCCTGACCCACATTTGCTCTCCATGGTTGTCACTGCTGGGCTGTTATCACTCTCTGCTCAGGAAGGCCAGTACCCAAGATAGCTCCCGGAGTGACTTCAGAGTGTGCTCAGCTCCTCTGATAAAGCCACGGGCAGCGCGGCAGGAGGACAAACAAAGCCCTTTATCACCAAAGAATGGGCCCTCGGCTCCTGCGCTCCTCAGGGTCTGCCTTTGGAAAGGTCACGTACGCAGGGTCCAGCATGCACAGACCTGTGGGGTTCCACCTCCACAGCAGAGGGCTCTGAGCAGGACAGTGTCCTCCCCCATTCTATGGAACCACTGGGAAAGGCAGATGGGGTTACCCCAGCCTGGCACTTAACAAAATCCCTGTGCCGGGCTCTCCACTTTTTAACACGTTTCACTCCAGCAGGCGTTATTTTCCTCAGGAGCCACCACAACGCTGACAAATGGGACACTGGCACCCCCATCACCTGCAGAGCCTCTGGCTCTCAGTTTGGTTTGTAACCAGAAGCAGGGCAGCAGTGAACTGAGGCTGCCATGGCCCGTGGCTGGGCTGTCTCTGCCGTGCACAGCAGGACGAGGCCCTGCCAGGGCTCGTCACGCTAACACTGCCTGGAAGACAATGGTGATCAGCGGGCACGTCCCAGCCAGCATATACAAACCCCTCACAACCCATCACCTGCTGCCTGCTTCTGTACGAGCCGGGGCGTGCGTCACAACACGGGGAACCTGTGTCCACGGCGTGTGTCCCCCTTCCCACTGCTGTCCCCACCACAACCTGTCTGAGGCCAAGCAGCGAGGCCTGCGAAGGGGTCCGGCCCCGGGGTGCGTTTGGTGAAGCCCAAGACCAGGCCAGGCCAGGCAGGCCGGGGCTGGGGCTGGGGCGGGGCGGGGCGGCCGGGGCAGCCGGCGGGCGCGGGGCGGGCTGCACCGGCGCTGCCCGGCGCTCCTGACGCAACCCCCGACGCCGTTTGCAGGGGGAGGGGCGGGGCCTCCCGCTGTCACCGGGCAGGAGAGACGCCGCGGACGTGCCCCGCGCTCCCATTGGCGGGCGCGGACGGGGGGCGGGCCCCGCCGTGCCGGGTCTATATGAGGCGGCGGCGCAGCGGGTGCAGGGCAGAGCGGGCGGCGGTGCGCGATGCCCGGGATGTGGCACCGGCTGGCGGGAGGCGAGCCCGGCCGCCTGGAGACCTCGGACTGCGAGTCGCTAGGCAGCGCCTCCGGGTCGGAGGGAGGTGAGCGGGGTGGGAGTCGCCCTTGGGGTCCTGCGGGGTGTGAGGTTGAGTTAAAGGTGCTGTGCCGCAGTTACAGCCCCAACCCCCGGCTCAGTGTGCCTCCGTAACCGTGAGACCCTAGCCTGTCCGCAGGCAGCGGTCCCGGTGCTGATTTGCCTCCCGTTCTCTGCAGATGCTGAATACGTTGATGGTGTCTCCCTGCCGGATCTGGACCTGCTGCATGACCCTGAAGATGAGCTGCTGTGTGCCAACCTGATGGACCTGGTCCAGAGCACGCTGGGCAGAGCCCCGCTGGGCGCCAAGCGCTGCTCCCGGCTCCTCATGCCGGCCCAGCTGCTGGCGCAGGTGAGGACGGAGCTGCTGCGCTTGGCCTGCAGTGAGCCGTGTGGGCTTCGTGGGGCCCTCCTTGATCTGTGTGTGGAGCACGGCAAGGCCTGCCACGACGTGGGGCACATCACCGTGGACCCGGCCGTGGTGCCCACCTTCCAGCTCACCCTGGTGCTCCGGCTGGACTCCCGCCTGTGGCCCAAGATCCAGGGACTCTTCACCTCGGGACCGGCTTTCACGCCGCTGAAGCTGAGCACGGGCTTCAGGGTCATCAAGAAGAAGCTGTACAGCTCCGAGCAGCTGCTCATAGAGGAGTGCTGATGGGCTGTGCCACAGAAGGGACTTACCCAAGTGCTTTGGAAGAGCTGGTTAGAGCGTGGCGGCTCCTGGCAGCTGCTGTAGTTTAGGTTAGGCTGGAGTAGGGCTGTAGGTGGAAGTAGTTGGGGCAGGCGGGGGGCCCCGCGGAGCGCCTGCCTGTGCCGGGGCATCCCTAGCAGCAGAGCGGGCCAGGACACGGGCGGAGGTTGCTTCACACTGTCGATGATTGTGGGGTGATTGCGGTGACTGCGCTCCCGGATGTGGCAGCCGGGCTGCTGGGGGCAGGCAGCCTCCTCCCGTTGGCTGATTAATCATGGGGTTTTTGTAACAAGGATTGTAATCAATGGGGTTTCTGGGGGAGGGGCTGTGTGGGAGTGAGTGACAGCTGAGCTGTAAGTTCGGATCAAAGGCAAAACCCCACTGCTGGCATCTGGGCAGCTCTGTGCGGGCTCCCCGTGTTGCAGGAGGAGGGTCTGAAATCGCGTTGGGTTTTGGATCGTGAGAGGGGAGAGTGAATGGTGGGAGAGGTGACACAGGGATGGAGGGCAGGACCCCTCACCGTGACACGCTGTGGGTGCTTCATTGGTTACAGTTTACACTCCTACACTTGATGTTCAAGTGCAAGACTTCCTATGCAATCGTGTCGGTGGTTTTTTTACTTTTCTAATAAAATTTGTCTTAATTGATAACCTGCTGTCTCCGTTGTCACTCTGGTTCAGAGAGGGATGATGCAACCGCTTGTCTGATGGTGTGAAATCCCCCCTGGCATCCTTGGGAAGCTCTTTTCTGGCAGGTGGGAGCTGAAGGCTTTGGGAATGGGGTGGGGGGAATCCCACTGTGACAGCTCCTAATTGCAGGGCATGGGGCTGTGAGTCAGGGGTGCTGAGTCAGACCCCTGAGCCAGCCAGGTGCATGCCTGTGCCTGGGGAGCGGTGCCTGGGCTCCCCAGCGAGGGGCTGCTGCTCTCCATGGGAGCTGGGGGGGGGTGGGCAGAAAGCCAGGAGCATTGGCTGCAGTGGTGAGGGAGGGAGGGAGGTGGGAGGGTCACACCTGCCGGGGGAGTGCTCCCCAGCTCCAAACACACTGCAGAAATGAGGCCAATTACCCAAGCCTGCAATTAGAGTCACTCAGAGAAAAGGCTTTCACTAAAGGGCAATTAAGCTGCTCGGCAAATGAAGAGCCTCAGAAGGTGTGGGGGATAAAGCCAGCCTGAAAAACCATTTCCATTCAAATGTGAGCTTGTTCTGGCTCAGGCTTCTGTTGGTTTTTGTTTGGTTGCTTTTGTTGTTTGGCTTGAGTTTATTATCTTTTTTTCCCCACTCTCCTGTGGACAAACAGTAACTTTTTGATGAAAATTTCCACCAAAAAAGTTGCTTTTGAGAAGGACAACCCACAGCCGGAGTGCTGGGAGATGAGGTTGCTCACCTATGTAAATACTGCCTCGGAGCAGCCAGGGCAACAAGGAATGCCTGGTGGATACAGCTGGAAACGTGCCTTTACAAACCCACATTGTGCAAAGGGAGGTGGGATGTTTTCCAAAGGGTCTCACGCCAGAGCATTCCCTCCCTCACGTGAGGGGCATCCCCGTGCTAGGGTCAGGCGGTGCAGTGCCCTGAGGGGCTGCCCAGCACAAAACTACCCACCAGAACAGCCCTGGGGCCACTGAGAGGGCTGCAAACGAAGCTCCAAATCCTAAGTTTTGCTGTGAAATCAGGAGAGAAGCAGATTTTGGCACCACCAGCACAGGGTGGAAGCGGCATGTGGTGATAGATTTACAGCACGGTGACGGCAGCAACACCAGTGGCCTGGCTCTGGCTGTGCCATCATCACCTCCGAGACACATTGTGTCTTGAATCTATATATATAGCTCTATAAATACACATAGTTTTATGTATCGAGCCCCTAAGCACACAGAGGGGATGGCCCCGTGTCTCACCTGCTCCCTGCCAGCCTTTCTGGGGTGGGTGAGGGACTCTGCATCATGTTTGTTTAAATGATTATTATAAGGAATAATCAAGGCTTTGTAGAAAATGCCAAGAGAATGAAACACAATGCAGAATGACAGCCTCTTTGCTGGGGGGTGCCCAGAAAAACCTTCCATGTGGGTCCATACGCCCCTAAAGCACCCCATGGTCACAGCCTCAGCCATCAGTGATGGCAGGTGAAGCTTTGCTTCTACTTATAGCAAAATGGCTTTTCTGTGAGGAATCTGGGGGGATCTCAAGGTCCCTGGGGTTTGGCAGCTCCCTGGAAAGTGCTAGGAGCTTCCAGTGACGCTGCATTTATCATCTCCCAGTGCAGGGGGCAGGCAGAGGGATATTTTGGGACCCGGGAGGTGGTGATGGGGCTATTTGTGGCACTGGCCTCATCCCCGGGAGTCCAGGTGCCGTCATGGTGTTGGGAAAAGTGAGATATTTGGGACATCAGCAGCAATAAGGCAAATGGGGATTTTAGTCCTTGGGTAATGCTAAACCCTCTTGTTTTGCTGCCAAAAATGACGGTGGTCGTATGCAGGGTCCCCTTCACTCCTTACATGTGGGAAGAGGATGATCATGGGGCACCTGCCTTCCCCTGCTGCTTCCCTGCCTTTGGCTACCACTCCAATTAAAAGCATGGGCTAATGAGCTACGAAGTAGGGAAGGAGCTAATAGGCAGCCAAAATTGCCCGTACCTTTGGTGAGTGGGAAGGGACCAGCACACCAGAAGTGCAGAGCATCTCCCATTGCTCTGGGCTGGGAATGACCCAAAATGCAGCGAAAGCACCCCAAAAACTTGGGCATGGATGCAGCTGATTACAGAATTAAAGCAAATAAATGGAGCCGCGGCGTCTGTGCTGGTGGCACTGGTGCTTTGCTGGGGGCTGTGTAGGTTCATGCCAGACACTCCTAGCCAGCACCGGCATTGTGTGAGGTCAGCAGGGCTGACTCACTGCCACTGCTGAGAACACAGTGCCAAGGGGAAATGGAAGCGACGTGACCCCTTGGCCTCTGAGAGGAGGGAAAAAATGGGGAAGTGGGAAAACCCACCCCAAAACCTCCAGTCCTTTGATGTGTGGGGCTAGGGAGGCAGAGGGGAGCACCAGAGGGGTCAGGCCTGCCCCAAGAGCCATCAGTTTCTGCTCTTGGGAAATATGTCTAGGCCACATTTCCATCCAGGACAAAGGCAGCCCAAGCCTTCCTGCCCCCTGCCCTCCCCAAACCTGTCTGAAGGGCACCTTTGAGCACTGGGATGATGCTGCCAGGATGGTGGGATTATGGAGTGAGAATAAAGCATCCCCAAAAAGAGCTTGGCCAGAGGATGTGGGGGACCTGGCTAACAAAGGTTCTTTGATTCAAGGGAAGATGAGGCACAAGGCACCCTACTGGGAGCATCCCTGTGGAACCAGTTTGAAGCAAAGATGTCTTTCTAAGCCTCTGCCATCCCCTTACCAGAACCCACGGCTAATTCGGGGGGACACTACCTGCTCTCCATCTTCTCCCTGTCCTTACCTCTCCCACGCTGGGGAGGCCTCTGCAGCACTGGAGCTCTCCGCCGCTGGGGCTTGCTGGGACACCAGAGACACCAAATCCCATTCACTGAACACCTGTGTGGATGCAACAGAGGTGGTGTGAAGAAGGAGCTGTAAAACCAGAGCTGGCTGGGGCAAGGATCCACAGGACACCAACACAGCAGGAGCCTTTCACATTATAAACATTTATTTATAGATGTACAATTGTATAATTAATTCTAAATCGAGAGATACAGCCACTCTGAGCATCCATTAGGATCTACGCCTTCTGGCTCGTTATTATCCATGGGGATCGACTTGGAAAAATATAATCAAAAGGGTTTGGTGGGCAGGTTCTGGGCAACGAATGCTGTTGTGCAAGACATTCAGCAACTTACGTGAACATATTTCTTGTTTAACCCCCTCCCCAGGATCTCTTTGTGCTGGCTAGCCTGAGCCTCTAGTAGAAGCTGTTTCCAAATGCCATCCAACTTCCATCCAAAGGCAGAAGAATAATTTAAGGAAACCAACAAAACAACCAAGAAACCCCAACCCTTTAAAATCAGGCCCAAGTAACGGTGCCTGTGGGATAATAAGGCTTGCAGCTAACAGGCAGGCCAGTATTTTGCAAAACAAATCAATGGCTGAAGACAGTGCACGTGGGTTCCTAATGACAAAGAAACAAAACCACCTTACCTCTCACCACTTCCAGCCCCTGCCATCCCACCCAGGAGCTGCCACGATTCTGATTCATTCCCCTAAGGGTGTCGGGGGATGGTTCTCACTGGAAATGTCTTTAGACAAAAATGAACTGAAAAGTGCCAAGGAAAAGAATCCAGTTTATCCCACGGAAGGTAGCTCAGCTCGTGCCAGCTTTGCTTTGAAGAGATGGCTCCTAACCTTGAGTGCCCTCCCGCTGCCTTTATGCCAGTCCTGCCCAGTGGTGATGGAGTGAGAGATGCACTGCAGAGCTCAGGTGGGGTCCAAGGAGAGCTCTGGCACAGGCGCCGATCTCCCCCAGCAACACTTCTTTCAACAGAAGCAATAGGAAGCTCTGTTTCTTATGAATTAGCAGTATTTTACAGGTCTCCTCTAGGAAACATCGGAGATAGATAGGGTGTCAAGGCCACAGCCAAGCTGCAAACAGGAATGATGGTGGGTGAGGAACCCCAAGTGTCAGACAGACCAGAAACAACTGTAACAAAGGGAGGCAGCTCGTGGAAAGCCCTGTTTAGAGAGCGAACGCTGCACACTGATTACGAGGCAAAATTAAAGCAGACTCTGCAAAAAAAAAGAAGTTATGTGCACAAATACACCCGAAGACTGATGAGCAAAACCCATCCGGGACAATCCTTCCCACCACCGAGCGTGACGCTGGGGCTCAGCTGACCTGCTGCAGCTTCTGCCAATGCGGCAGAACCACACCACAAATCTGGAGAGCTTCCCCTCTTTCTCTGTTACCTCCTACAGAGCTGGAATTCCTTTTATTAAAACCTGACAGGCAGGTATCGACATCCCAAGGAGCAGAATGCTGCTGTCCTCCAGAAAGCAAATTACAGTAACTGCAAAGTGATTCTTGTGTTAGTGTGTCAGGCAGGAAAGCGCTGCAGGACGAGACACCCTGGGAAGAGACTTCCCGCTTCCTTGTTTACCAAACCGGGCAGAAAACAAAATAATTTAATCATCCAACCCCTGCATAGTTTAAAAGTACAACATATATACAGCTATAAATTAATTCTAAATAGATTATATATTGGTTTTCTTTTCTTTAGAGCTTTGTCACCGAATCGTCCAATTCCCCTCTCCGTCAGCAGTGACCAGCACGGTCACAAAGGATGTCCTTCTGCTTCGTGGCTTCTACAGTTAGTGTTTTTACACTCTATGTGTCTGTTCTCAGGGTTGCGGGATCCCAGGAGCAATGGGACTGTTGCACGCTAGTGGTGTCAGAAGGGAAGAAGGAACATGGGCAGCTCGATTTCCTGTCCTAATCGCTGCCCCAGACGTAGGTCGAATGGTGGAGACAGGCAGAGAGAAGAAAGAGGGCAGTTGTGCGTTGCTAATTCTCCAATTCCATTTGTAAGATAAGGTTTGATTCTCTGAAATAGCAAGTCTGTCACCCCGATTCAGTGCACGTCACCAAAAGTCTTCAGGCATTTCAAGAGTCTGGGGACAAAAGCGGTAACGGTGTCAGTCTCTGGACAA